TAATAACCAAATCGTAATCAATGCATCACTGGTAAATTATTAAATCAAGGATTTCGTTACCATAAATTACGTAAAACTTTTGCTAAGTTCTTTCATAGATACAAAGATTTGATTAGTAATTTGGCTGTACTTGTAGAAAACTGATGAAAAACGGTATTTCACATCCTAAATTTTACGGTAATATTGTACTTAAAGCGCGAAAATCACTATGTGATCCGTGTAAACTCATCGAACCTTTAAACAAACTTATTAGTAAAGGTTATCTTACCAATGTTGTAATTAGATCTTTGAATATAGCTTACATTGGCACTAATATCGATTTTGTCATCAGCAAATTAAAACATAACTAAATTTGTATTTTTTTCAAGTGGGATGTATAAAGACACACCCACGTTCGTTTAGATCTATAAAGAGGTTAAACTCCTAACTATCCTACTGTCTGTCAATACATTTATTTTTGGCATTGCACTAGTCATGTCTTCTTTGACTGTCCATGACGTTAAAATACTAAATCCCTGGGATGTGTTTTAGTTGATTTTAGTCTCTGATGCATGATTTTTTATTATTAATTGTTTTGGCTTTTAACTAGCTGTCAGTAACTGCGAGTACTCTCAAATCGTACTTTCTTGTTTATTTGACCTGTTGATACTAATTGTATTGCTTTTTTGTTATTTAATGTTATTCAGGGTTATATCTGGTCTATATACCAGCTTTGATAAGTGTTTGGTATAACTATAAATTTCCACTTCGTACTATGAACATCAAAATTATTTATTTTGTAAAAATATTTCCTTTCTCTATTGGTACTGTACACGTATACCTAACAACAAAATTATTTTCAATTACCTGTGTTTAAAGTTATTGCAAATGTCTGATATTTTTGTTCGAGCATATTGTTTTTCTTTAATTGTTTAACATTTCTTACCGATATAACATGTTACTTTTATTATTCTTCCCTTAGTTTATTTATTTTGTATTTACATTGTGTCATAGGTCAAATTTATTTGTTCAGTGTATGTTCAATGGTGTTAATATGTCCTTTGATTGAGTTAAGCTATTTCAGTTGATATTTTATAGTGTGTCATTCTATGTTGTGATTTTACACTATTGTTTCGGAAAAAGGGTGAAGGTTTGGTACCATTAAAACATTTAAACCCGCTGCATTTGTTTGCACCTGTCCTAAGTCAGGAATCTGATGTTCAGTAGTTGTCGTTTGTTGATGTGGTTCATGTTTCTTGTTTCTCGTTTTTTATATAGATTAGACCGTTGGTTTTCCCGTTTGAATGGTTTTACACTAGTAATTTTTTGGGGCCCTTTATAGCTTACTGTTCGGTGTGAGCCAAGGCTCCGTGTTGAAGACCGTACTGTGACCTATAATGGTTTACTTTTATAAATTTTGACTTGGATGGAGAGTTGTCTCATTGGCACTCATACCACATCTTCTTATATCTAAAAACTGCAAAATGTCCTTAAAATTACCAATTCAGGGGCAGCAACCCAACAACGGATTGTCTGATGCATCTGAAAATTTCAGGGCAGATATATCTTAACCTGATGAACATTTTTGCTCTAAATGCTTCAGTTTCAGAGATATAAGCCAAAAACTGCATTTTACCCCCATGTTCTATTTTAGCCATGGTGGCCATCTTGATTGATTGGCGGGGTCGTCGGATATATTTTTTAAACTACATACCCTAAGGATGATTGTGGCCAAGTTTGGTTAAATTTGTCTCAGTAGTTTCAGAGGAGAAGATTTTGTAAAAGTAAACGGATGGCAACTACGACGGACGCTCATTTGGCCCTTTTGGGCCAGGTGAGCTAAATTTAAAAATGCTTGTTTTTGGCCCCTTTTTTGCCCCTAATACCTGAACGTTTGAGGCAATTACCCCCAAACTCAATCCCAGCCTTCCCTTTGTGATATGGAACCTTGTGGAACAATTTCAGAGAGATCCATACACTTACACAAAAGTTATTGTCCAGAAACTACAAAAATGCTTGATTTTGGCCCCTTATTCCTAAACTGTTGGTACCATAACCCCCAAAGCAATCCCAACCTTCCTTCTGTGGTATTGAACCTTCTGGTAAAATTTCATAGAGATCCATTCACTTAAACTAAAGATATTGTCCGGAAACCAAATGTGTCTTTGGACGACAACGACGACGAAATGACAGCATTATATGAATGCAAATTTTTTGCGGTCATATAAAAAGCTTACAATGAAGAGGCTTATGAACTGCCACTAGACCTTCATAATTTGGTCTTACGACACAAACCTTATCTACATACAAAATAAATGATTATATCAGGCAGGGAATAAATTAAAGCTTACTGTGTGGAGGACCACTAGATTTCTAATAATTCTATAGTTTCTTAGCGTGCCATGTTCCTTTGTTCTGAGGTTCTCAAATAAAATAATATAGTGGAGTGTAATATAACATAATGAAAACTAACCAAAATGAAATGTGGGAAAAAGAAGATAAATCCACTCCATAAATGTGACACAACATACACAGAAATACCAAAATATATCAGAAATAGCATAACAGGCTCATCAGTTAAAAAAAAAATTCTAACTCTAATTTTTCTGTTCAAAGAACAAAATAATTCAGACCTTAAAGTGTAGGAATTTTGGATCATGAATTAATACAATACATGTATATCCTTTTTTGTTCACAAATAATACAATTTACACAAGGACATAAATAAATATAATTCAGAAAATTACTCTAACTTATGGATACATGTTTATGGAGGTGACAAAAAGACCACTGTACAAGAACAAATGATAAGAATCCCTGCCAAAATTGAACATGTTAAATCTGTAAAAATCCTGAAATTATTTTACAAAAAAAAGACTTGTTTTAATGGAGTCATATGACAGTTAATTTGGTACCAGTGCTGGGTATTATTCATACAATTTATTTTTACACAGTTTTAAGTATAAATTAACATTTACTTGTATAAATAAATTTGTATTAAAAAAATGTGTCTCAAATTCTTATTTCTGGTTTGCTTGCTATTTTTTTTCTATCTGAGAGTTCAATGTTTTATCTCATTGACTAACACAATTAAACAAAGAAATCTATACTGCCAACAAATGTTAAGTAAATCTATAAAGCCTTAAAAAATTGCTCCCTGAGGAGCTGGTAAATAGGCAGTATTTTGAAAATAAGTCAAAATTTTCTTATGAGTTTTTATTGTCTATGAAATCATTGGCAAGTAACTTCCCAATCAATCAAATCAAAGACAATAACTTCTGAATGCCAACATAGCCAATGGCAAAAGTGAAAAATCAAATGAAAAATATTGAACTTGACCTCAATTGTGTCATCAGCAACAACATATTAATAAACTACCGCTTCATTGACAACAACACTTAAGTAAACTGCATCTTTTATTGTCCACATGTTTCGCCGATTAGACCAGCGTCATCAGGACAAAGTATACAAAATTAGAACCCCTGAAGTACAAAAAAACGGCATCTTGTATGTGACGTCATAATTGTCCATTGTTGACGTTGCTATAGGATACTCTATATCAAAATGTACTGTTGAACAGAAAATGAATCAAACATAGTACAATGCAAATGAAGTTACTAAATTTAGAGTTAATCTATAATTGTTCTGATTGTCTTTATCTTAAAAATGATTGTAAACTATTCTAATGGTAATTATAAGTGTCTAAATAAAATGTGTTTTTACATAAAAATATGTGTAACATGAATGTAAGTACAATGTCAGTGTACAGTTTGTATAAAGTTTCTTCCTAATTAATTGAACAACACTTTTAGGGCAGATAAACCAAGCAAGATACACATGTACACCTTACAATCATAAAATTCACCAAATATAATTAACCTTATTGCTTATAGTAGATCTAAGAAACAGATTTAACCAGCAAAACTTAACATTGACCTATGAACCATCAAAATGAGGTCAAGGACAGATGATACCTGCCAAACAGACCTAACAATAAGTCCATTTGTATACCAAAAAAAAAATTAAAGTTGACCTATTGCTTATAGTAAATGTAGTACATGTATTCGAAAAACAGATCAAAACACAAAAACTTTGAATTGACCAATGAGCCATGAAAATAAAGTCAAGGTCAGATGACAACTGCCAGACAGTAATGTACACCTTTAACAATCATTCCATACACCAAATATAGTTTGACCTATTGCTAATAGTATTCCAAAAAAAGACTAAACACAAAAACTTTACATTGACCAATGAATCATGAAAATGAGGTCAAGGTCAGATGAAACCTACCAGACTGAAATGTACCACTTACAATCATTCAATACACCAAATATAGTTGACCTACTGCTTATAGTATCTGAGAAATGGACCTAATCACATAACTGTAACCTTGATCACTGATCCATGAAATGAGGATGAGGTCAGGTTAACTCTGTCTGACGGACATGTAGACGTTGCTAGGAACCCATATACCAAATATAATTATCCTATTACTCATTATAAGTAAGAAATTCACATGACAAAAAAACTACGTATAATTATCATTCAGAGTTGCTGAACCGTAGAAATGAGGTCAAGGACAATGGACATATGACAGACTGTTACTTTGTTACATAAGGTATCTGCATAAAAGGTATGAAGCATCCAGGTCTCCTACCTTCTGAAATATAAAGCTTTATAAAAAATAGTTTACGCCGCCTCCGCCAGATAGTAATCCCTATGTCACGCGTACTGCGACTTACGATGTAGGAGAGACAAAAACCAGAGAGTACGATATTGTGCTCTAGAACACACTCATTATTTAAGCACATTCATAAAAAGATGTTAAATGTAATTAATGTAAAAATAAGGCTTGGGACTATACAAAATGTTAAAAAAAAAATATTTTATTTAAATTTAAAACAATAAAATCTCTGAATTTAATTGAACTTTGCTCTAAAAGGGTATGAGCAGTTCCTGGCTTATTAATGACACTTGTCAAACATGCACTGTGTAAATGCAAATAAACTGGTTAAGACCTGTGCTCCAGTTTCCACTTTCGATAGATTCATATTTCCCACATGCATGACATGTCGCTGCAATCTCTAACAAAAAGTGTTCACTGCAGTTTTTCTTTACTCGCTTTGAAGCTGCTTTAGAGGATCGTATTTAAAATATTTAAAAGTAATATTTATTGACAGAAAATATCCGTTCGATCGACAGTCAGTGCTGCTTTTCTTAATATTTTTTTAGGATATAAGGACTTCGGAATTTGGGATTCACCGACATGCGCACAAAATCATAACAGTCTGTTAATTTCCGTTTGATGTTTCTTTGATGTTTTTGGCGATACACATTTTGCACTATGCTTGTCCAATGTTTCAGTAATGCAAACATGAGGATGCAACAATGAGTGCAGCATTTGATTTAATATTTTGGCATGTGACATTTTGATTCCTCAATAATGGCTGGAAGAACTCAGCAGCAAGCTGATCGTACAAGACGAAAAAGAAGTCGAACTCTGCCACCCGTGTATACCGGAATAAGTGGGTCATTTGAGGACAAAGACAATGATTTTGTTTGGTAAGACAGTGATCGCATTTATTATTTGCTGTGCATTGTTTCGTTATCGACGGTTTGTATTTTTCACCGCGTGTTCGAGAGCTGTAATATATAGCGCAGAAATTATGAATTTGTCGTCTGCACGCCCACGCATTTTCAAATTAGAAATCACCAATGACTAGCAATTTAGCTTTATGCAATGCATTTTTTTTTAGATTTTTACTGCAACTGTCAGTATAATACAAAAATATCAGCATGACATGTTATGAATAAGCACCATGAATGATCACTCAAGACGTGCAAATCACTAAAAATTACAATGCAATGGAGATCTTTGGAACATTTAACATTTATAAACATAATTCATTTTCAATTTTGAGCCCTTTACAGCCGGCCCTTTAGGCATGTTAGGGGCATATAGAAAATAATAATAAAGAATGGAACATACAAAAAGACGTAAGAATTACCATGCTCTATAAAATATATAAAGTGATATAACACTAAACAGTAGCAATATCAAAGGAAATGTCATCTGATGCCACCAAAATGACTGTCACGAAACATGCATAAAAGAAGCTTCCAAATTCCAGCGTCTGACATCAAGTGATTACTGGAAATATTCTTTTTTTCCCACAAACTATCAGGGATTGGAACGCTCTTCTTCCCTTGGTTGTATCAGCACCGTCAGTCAAGGCTTTCAAAGCAGTGTCAAAACTTGTAGTAATTGTTGCCTTATACTTTGGACAACAATTAAGTTTTAAGATAATAAATCCTTATTTTCTGCTGTGCAAAATGCCTTTGCCAAAGGTTGTCTCACATTAGATAAGTAACTAAATAGCTTAAATGATAATATTTATATTATTCAGAAAGCAATACAATAATTAATATCTAAATGTAAAAAAGTATTTTTGTATATGTGTGAGTACGTCAAGATCTAGAGTATTTACCTACATGTATGATCTCAGATAATCAGTTCAAATTCATTTTGACAGTTGGAATCCTCTTTTTATATGCCCAAACACACCTTAAATTGTGTATAAGAAAATAGGACGATAATGTTTAAGGTTAATCGTGTGTATTACCATGATAAATATGAATAATTTAGAAAGCAAGTAAAATTTCATCAGTCTTGACACCGATTTAGCAATATGAAGCAGGTAAATAGCAGATGCTAATTAAATGTAGGAAAAATAACAAGCGTACAACAAAATATGTCATTTGATTGCCACAAGTTGGCGGAATTTTGTAACGCAAAATCAGCAATTGTCAAATTTGCCAGGAACAATATTTTCAGCCAAACACAGCTATCAAACTTCAAGTATAATTAAACAAAAGTTAAACTGAACTAAATTCAAACATCATGCGGACGGGGCATATATGCTTTGTTGATTAAGGTCATTATCTTAATAGAAGTAAAAGAGTTTTCAATATCCATTTTATGAATGAACTTCTAGGGGAAACATGCCACTAGACATTGTGATGAGAAGATAATTAGCTTTTGACATCAAATATATTTGGAGTAATAGGACAAATTGGAAGATCATGTTTTCAATGGATCAGAAAAGTACATTTTGTAAGATAGTTTAATATCATATACAACAGGGATAAAAATAGCAGCTGTAGTGACTTTTCAAGAAGTTCATTATCATTATAGTGATGGTCCTGTCCAAATTTGATATGACTGAGGTACATTTAGGGGTTACCTTAATCCATTTTGGAATTCTGAGTCCGGAGAGATTTTCTGATTTGCCCACCCTATTAGGACTCAGAATCAAAAAGGGATTATTGTTAACTGTGAAAGGGGACAAAGTCTATAAGCTGTTTCTTTCAAATAACTTGAGAACAGTTTGATAAATTCTTTTTAAACTTTAGTGCTGGTACCTTTGATTAGATGACGGTCAAGTTTGATATTTATGATTTTCATTTTTGGTGTTCTGAAGTTATGGTCCTTGATTGAATGATTGTTTGGGAAAGGCACTGTATGTCATTACGATGCAATAACTTGAAAATGGTTCAACCAATGCTTTTCAAATTTTAAAATGTTTTTACTGATGACAAAATGGAGGTGCTGTTTGATATTTGAGATTTTCACTGAAGTTGTTCAGAAGTTATGGTCCTTGATTGGTTGGGAAATTTGGCTTTATGTCAAATTTCATGTGATAACTTGAGAGAGTTTGATCCATAGTCCTTTTCAATTTGTTTTTTCTCTTAACAAAATGGAGATCAAGATTTGTTTTGAAATTTTTCACTATGCAGTTCATGAGTTATCGCCCCTGCTATAACAAAATAATTAGGTTACAAGAGCGCAATTATTCGTAATGCATTTTCCATAGGGTACCAGTGGTGTTCCATATTTTTTTTCTCGAAGACTACACTAACTAGGAAAAAATGGGTAGCAGTTCCTGTTACTAAAAATGTCAGTGTTGCATAACAACTAAAAAAAATATACATGGTCATGTGGCAAAAATTGACTTAAAATGCAGTTGAAAAACATTGTCTATTTTTTCACTTATTGAAAAAAGCAGATTTTTAATGGCTTGGACGTGCAGATATTGAAAATATCTTCTTTACTTTGTAAAATGTGAATTTGATTTTCTGGATTTTTTAAACCTAATTAGATAAGCTTTCGATTAAAAGAAATTCCAATCCTGTATCATCCAATCAGAAGCCGTACAAGATTCTATTCTGAGTAACATCTTGGGGTAAACAACTTGCCAGTAAAATGTAAACAAATAATTGCGCTCTTGTAACCACTACCGTACACTAGAAAATGTAAGAAAAACCCAGTTTGGTGTTATTTGACAGCCACTTGTATACAATTAGTGTAAAGAATTGTTTAAAAGTTATCTAAATGGAGGTGAATTATGTGCTGAAACATTGTGGACAAATACATTTTCTTTTTTTTTTCAGTCCAATATGTTTTGATATCATAGAAGAAGCTCACATGACCAAGTGTGGTCATACATTTTGGTAAGATAAAAGTAATTTAAACAGTACAACCAAGTGTTGTAAATTATATATATTTCTCCAGATAGTGTAATCAATGGAGTATAGTTGTAGATTAAATATATAATATTATTAATAGTACTAATTTATTTTGTTATTGATGAGAATTTATTTTTTTCAATTATTACTGGTACATGTGCATTAAAATTGAACCATATATTATTGTAATGGGTAAAGTTGGGGTGGATACCTAAGTCACAGGTATTTGAAAGTTGTCCTTCTACAATGGTTAATACAATTATATAAATCAAAGACAACAACACCCATGTTTATACTGCATGAATAAAGATTCATTTGTCTACATGTTACACCTCATGAGTGGAGTCATCAGGACGGTTACAATAGGAAAAAATATACCTGGTGTGTGTGGACTTTTGAAAGTTACTGAAAGGGGAAGTGGTTTAACAAGTATATTAATAGAAATGAAAGTAGAAACAGAAATTGAATCTTAAAATAAAAAGTTATTTAAAGAACTGTCTTTGTCTTGATGTTTTATCAGTTTTGTATAGATTCCGTAGTGTTCAACATTGTTCAACATATGGTGGTAGATTTTTATATTCCTCAAGTCATACAATGAGGTTCATGTGGGGGTACAGAGACAAAGTTAGTTCTGAAAAAATATTCCTGTAAAAGGTTTCTACCACTAATTATGTTGGCATTGGAACTAACTGGAGAAAATATATTTTCAGCTACAAATGTATCAAACAAAGTTTAGAGAATAGTAATAGATGTCCTAAGTGTAACTATTTAATAGAGAGTTCAGATCAGATCTTTCCAAACTTCACATGTAAGTAATTAATTCCTTAGCTCTGTAGATTTATTGCATGTTTATGTTGTTAAACTATTTTTAAAATGTTGTATATATATTTTCAAAGCTGTCTTAGTCCTAATGTATTGTCCTAGCTCATATGGTCCTTGTGATAAATGCAGGAATAGACCTATGGTTCTGTGATTGCTCCAGGAAGGTAACTGTTATGGTCCTTATGATTTTTTTTACCCCGCACAACATGCAAAACAGTATTCAGTACAGAACTAATGTACTTTGATTCTTTGTTAATTTTCAAATAATACATCAATCCTATGCATTATGCCATATATTATTGTTCCTCATTCACTCCCCCCCTTTTCCTCCAAAAAAGATGAAATCAGTTATAAATGTAAAAGATAGTGAATGGATAGTTTGTTGTATTTAAATGTTCATTTAGCATTTATTAATGTTTTTATTGTATATAATATACATGTATATGAAATGCACTGATCCATACTACTAGAAGATTTTTGAAACTTGCGCATGCCTCGAGGCGCATGCAAATGATTTCAAACAATTTTAAAGCTGACACCAGATATTTTTGAGATAAACTTTTCCCAGATAGGATATTATATTTGATACAGGACAGGATGTTTACAAGACAGTGTCCTATAAACTTACTAGACCCAGTAACCTACACCTGCTAGGCATCCTGTTAGCTTTAAACATTTAAATGTGAGGTCATAGGGTGCAAATTTATAAAATAAACCTAAAAAACAACTAAAAGGATGATTAAATATGTAGTTTAAATGATGCATGTGCTACTTAAGTAACATGTTAAGAAAGATTTAAGAATATAAACAATGATAAAATGCTATGAAGATAGAATTTGAATTGTTTGAAGAAACTTGTCTTTATCTAAATTTAAATCAGTCTCAAAAACTCAAATTTTATAAAAAATAACTTTCTAATTTAGTACCATTCAATTTTAAAATCACACCTAAGACAGTTTATGAATACTAGCCAACATGTTTTTATTTCAAATGCTAGGAAATAGAAATTTATATTGCTGATTTTTTATATATATACATGTATATATTCCGTTCTCAATTTTATATATATATATATATATTGTGTATTTATTAAACAAAGGCAGATCATAGAATATTTATACAGTATTAAAATATCAGGTACTTGGTGACATTTGTCTTTTATGATCTGATACTACAGAATTAATTTCTACAATTACTTTATGAATTGCATATATATCTACATCAATCATGGATTGATTGATTGGTGTTTAACACCACTTTCAGCACTAATGTGCTATTTCATGGCAGTCCATTTTTATTGATGGAGGAAGCCAGAGAGAACCACCAACCTTTGGTAGGAAAACTGACAATCCTAGTCAATTAAGATTGGAGTTGAACGCACCTGCCTTGAGCCAGATTTGAACTCACAACCTCAGTGTTGACAGGCTAGTGATACAGTAGTTCGACTACTTAGACCACTCGAGCACCTAGGCCCCCCCTATCTACATGGAAATGTAAGAAATACTTAAATAGTGTTAATATGTTTAGCACTTCATACATCTTAAAAACAACTTGAATATCAACTTCTTAGAAATAAAACATAAATTTCTAATATTTCAGTTAAAGTCAATAAGCAAAATGATAAGGTAGAGCAGACTGATAGTTCAATATGAATAAAAGGATATGTTAATATGTAATTGCAACAGCAAACTTTATTTTGAATTTTAAACTAACCCATACTATTATAAAAGGAAAAAAAGAATAACAAGGCAAAATGATACTTATTTCTGAATCATTTCATTACAGATCAAGTTAAAACAAAGAAAAGGTATTGTTATTTCAATTTGCATCAAATTATACTGTGGAAAGATGAATGTATATTTTGTTTGATACACCTTATACAAGCATTGTATGATATTTTTTGTAATGAATGAATTAACAATGAAACACAGACACCTATACAGGCATTGTATGATCTATTTTGTAGTGAATGAATTAATAATGAAACACAGAGGAAAACTAGAAGAGAAAAAGATAAAGGTAGAAAATGTAAGTTATACAATGTACATGTACATATTATCTAATTTTAAAACTCAGAAAACAATATTACCATATCTTTTATCAATTTATTGTCTTACTATGTATTTAAGCAATCATTAAAATATTTTTTTTCATTAAATAGAATAAAAATGAAATGTTAGGTTAAGGCTCTACAAAACAATATGATAAAGAAAAAAGTTTTTCACATGGAAGAATGAATTTTCAAATGGAAGTTACAGTCATTTGGTCATTCAGTTCTTATTCCATAACCTAGATAGTATAGTTGTGTGTCATTTAAACAACCTTACAGTCCATAAACAGCCAACACAACATTTCACTCAGCGACTCTTTTCACAAAAAATCTTACGATTAAAATTGATCGTAAGTTATACTGAAATGTGTATGACTTACAAGTATTTTTACTCTTAAGATTTTTTGTGAAAAGTGTCACAGGTTTGTAGCAGTGGTCGTCATAAGAACTTACATTAGACCAGCCAGTAGGGCCATTTGAAATAAATATCCACCTGCCGTTCTAAATTACCTGTTCCTCTTAATGCTTTAATTTTTATTACCAAATTTCATCTTAAATTTACTGGTCCATAAGGCCCATCTGAGATACCTTTTACTAGCCCATCTAAAAATTCACTGGCCAGTGGTCACTGCTTAAGTTGACCCCTGCAATAAAGAAATACTTTCTTTTTAGTTTTTACTGAATATAATCTTTATTATACATTTTTGTTTAGGGGCCGGCTGAAGTACGCCTCCGGGTGTGGGAGTTCCTCGCTGCATTGAAGACCCATTGGTAGCCTTCGGCTGTTGTCTGCTCTTTGGCCGGTTGTTCTCTTTGACACATTCCCCATTTCCATTCTCAATTTTATTTAATCAATTAAGACTGTCATGAAATGCTAGTTTGATTACTATGAGAGTTTGAATGTAACAAAATGGAGATACCAGCACAGAAAAAATTTATGATTTGATTTTATTTAGAATATACATGGAGGAAGTACATCTTGGTATGACATGATCACAGAAGATAGTTTAGATCTGCCGAATGTCAATAACCTACTGGAGATTTTACAGACCAAGAAACAAAAACTTGAAGCGGTAATCTTATTTCATTAAGTCATCTAGTGTCCTTCATTTCAAAAACAGATTTAAACATACTTTTATACATAATACAATGTTATCAGAATAAATATTGTGGATTCATTTATTTTCATTGATTGAGGAAAAATGGTATCTTTACTGATATGAGATTTCATGGTTTTGTTAAAGTCTGCTTACAAGCCTACATATAATTTGTACTTTGTTAGACATTTTATATTGTTGTTAACCTATTCCCACAAAATCCATGGAAATTTGTATCCCACAAATAATAGTGAATACACAGTAATACAAAGAAACTTTTTAATCTTGGAATATCAACTAATATAGATACTGCAAAAATGAGACATATATAAATTATTCTGACAAAACTTAAAAACATCTCAAATGTTTGAAAAAAAACATTATATATATTTTTTATATAACAGGACAATCAGCTATCCCAGCACATGATATTGAAAGACTTTTTACATAACGTCAGACAGAAAAAACAAGAGGTAAGAAATGTTGTACTTTGTTTTATCATTTCCCTGCCAATAAATCTTATATTATTTACAGTTTTAGCCTTAACTATGAATTTCACACTTGAGACTTCAAAACCATAGACTTTAATTTTTGTCTTGCTTCAACAAAGTTAAAAGAAGTGAGAATAAGGTGTGCTGTTTTGTAGTGTCAACAATGTATTAGTTTATTATAAGGTCAGCTTAAGGGGATCCTCTAGGGGTAGGTCAATGATATTTGGTTTTCAGTTGTATTAGCATTGGCACATCTCATTACCATGGAGATTATTTGGTCCAGATCCCGCAGTCATGGTCTATTGACTTTGAAACTTTTGCTTAGGTTACATGTTAAAGTTTGTCGTTAGGTCAGATTTAGATGAAACACCAATGGTAAGTCCATGATATTTGGTCTGCTATTGAATTAGAATTTGCACGTCTCATTTCCATGGAGATTATATGGCCCTGTCCCCTCAGTCATGGCGCATTGACTTTGAAATGTTGGCAAATTTTGTGTTTGGTTGTCAGTTTAAAGGGAAATCACTTATGGTAAGTAATGGTATTTGTTATGCAGTTGTATTAGCATTGGCGTATCTCTTTTCCACACAGGTCATTCTGCCCTACACCTTCATTCATGGTTCATTAACTTTGAATGTTTTGCCGTTTTCATGATAAAGTATTGCCATTTTAATTTCAACATTTGCATTATACTATCAAAATTACTAGATGGGAGACATATCACTTTGGCATAATGACACAACAAAACAATTACTCTGATCTTTCAAATGTTTCCAGTTTTGGCGAGAGAAAAAAAATTACAAAAATCAAACATTACCTGCAATGCTAAGCATAATCAACATTTATGTGTTCACAAGTTCATCTGAAATCATAAAGCCAGTTTTGTGTGCACCAGCTATTGAGTATACTACAATGAATTTCTCATTTTTATCAGTAATGTCAATGAATTGCTATTAGAGAATTAACATGTCAAAACTCAAGCTAAAGTCTTAAAATATATTTTAGGGAGAACATTCCTTGGCTAACACAATGAATTACACAGGCCTCATATCTTGCTCACTTGTTTCATATTTGATGGTTTTAAGTAGCCTGCTTTTGCAAAATATGTTTAGTATTCATTAGTCCTTCATTTGTATACAAACAATTTATAGCAGAATAATGTAAATGAAGTTACATTGGATAGAAATAAGAAGATGTGGTATGAGTGCCAATGAGACAACTCTCCATCCAAATCACAATTAGTAAAAAGTAAACAATTATAGGTCAAAGTACGGCCTTCAACACAGAGTCTTAGCTCACACCGAACAGCAAGCTATAAAGGGCCCCAAAATGACTAGTATAAAACAATTCAAACAGGAAAACCAACGGTCTAATCTATATATATATAAAAACCGAGAAACACTCAAGAACCACATCAACAAACGACAACCAATGAAACAGGTTCCTGACTTAGGACAGGTGCAAATAAATGCAGCGAGTTTAAATTTTTTAACAGGCGCCAACCTTCACCCTAACCTGAAATAGTAGTGTAACATTACAACATAGAAAGACACACTATAAAATATCAATTGAAATGGCTTAACTCAATCAAAAAGACATATTTTTTATATAAAGATTTTCTTTATAAAGATCCTTTATTTTCTAGCAACTGGATCAACTTCAGAAAGAATTATCATTAATAGATGAAGATTTATCTAAAGTGGAGGTGAGATAATGTTTTAATTGTGCTTTGATTAATCATGTGACCGTTGTAAAGACCAGGATATCATTGAATGAATATAACATGGCTTAGATTAATTTCTTGTCAAATTTACAATGTATCATATTATGATTAATTTGTATGCAGAGTAGGATATGTATGTATATATTAGTGTAAACATGTGATAGATAGATTTTAAATCTCAATCCATATGGTGTCTCTCTTGAATAAATGAATAAACAGGTTTAGAAAATAATAATTATAATATTTAGAGCAATTCTATGAAGTAAAATTCACAACAGATATGTTTTAAGTGTTATATGCAAAATATTTCCATGTGTGAAAGAGAGGTGAAAAATACCAAAGGAACATCCAAACAATGGCAAAAAACTAAAAAAAGACCAAAACACAACATGAAGACTGAGCAACACGAACCCCACCAAAAAGGGGGGTAATACCAGGTGCTCTGGCAGGGTAAGCAGATCCTGCTTCACATGTGGCACCTGTTGTGTTGCTAATGTAAGTACAAACCTTGTGACAAGTCCAATTCTGCAGGTCACATTGGAGGAAAAGAGGAAGGGATTTTGGTTACGATAATTGGAACATGTTCATCGCCATCTCTGACTATTTTTAACCATAGGAAACTTCTTTTTATACATGGATCCACACAATAACAATGCGTGTAAGGTCGCTAAAAAATCAAGTTCAATCATGTGTATTAATGAAAACAAATAGACAGCAATGCCCAAATTTTTTTTTAAAGGAATTCATAGTCAATAATTTAACAATACAAAACATGTAAATAGCAGTTACCAACAAAAAGTGTAATTACTAAATATGCCTCAGCAATTTTACAGATGTCTAATCTACCAATAACAATGTTTTATATCAATCTATTTAAGCATAGTTGAATGTGCATAACAAGCATAAACAAAAATACAAAGTTTGTATAAATCTAAGATCTTGAAAATAGATGCATGCACTGTGAGAATAAAAATCTTTATTTTGTTGTGATTATATAAAATTGATAAAAATTACTGTTTTTTTAGCATTGTACAGGATAGTGTATTGTTACATGTTATTTTTTAGGTGATGATTTCAGAAACAAAGAGAAAATTTTCATCATTTTCAGTAAGTTACAATTTTCTCCAAGTAAATGACAATATTGGGAAGATTTCTTGAAAAGCTCCTCTTTTTATACTAAGAAATATGATTCAGCTTCTTTATAATTAAAGAATGATTTTGTATTTAATCTGTTCATTTGTACAATGTAAGCAAGTTTAGGATCTGTTATACATTCTTTCCTGTTTTATGGTAACTACTGATAGAAAAACAAAGGATATAGGGTATCCATCCATGACACAATAACATGCACAGCAAAAAAAACCACACAAAAAGCAATGGAACAGCGCTTTTATTGCTGTTCTTCATTTCAAAGTCACAGTGAGACCTCAACATGGAGCAATTAAAAAAAAAACTCACCTCACTGCAAGTTTAAGATGGCCCCTAGCACTGGCTTGAGCAGAATTCTTTGCAAAAATAATTTGGATAGACTTTGTAAGATGTTACACCACCTAATCGGGCCCGGTCAAAAAAGAACATACTGGAAAGTAGTACATACTGAGCATGGAATTAACTGTCACACTTTTCTACCATTGTATGAGAAGGGATGGATATAGGAAGATGAGGTATGAGTGCCAATGAGACAACTATTGACTGGTTTTGGTTCTTGATAATATTGTGTTGTACCATGTAAGCAATTTTCATATCTGCATGATACAGAATTCCTGTTTGACAATACTTTGATTATTTTATTATGCCCAATGAGCATTGAATTTGAAATCAATGTTTATTTAAAAGTGGAGGTATACTTTACCCAACATTGTATGTACCCGATGTCCCTTTGTTTTAACTACTGAGCATGGAATTAACTGTCACACTTTTCTTCCATTGTATGAGAGGGATGACTTGTTCTGGGTCTTGATAATATTGTGTTGTACCATATGTAAGCAATTTTTTTTGACCTCGTGTTAATCCTGACAATGATAATTCCTTTTTATCATTTCTAGGATCATCTAGTTCCTAATGGATTTGATGTGGCTACAGATAATGGTAGTCAAGATGGTTTTAATGGTAGTAAAAATGTAAGCTATGAGAGTCATTTGTAATATGTTTTAGTATTCTCATATTTTACTGTTGTCAACATGTAAAACATTTGATCCAATGACTTAAAAAAGAATTAACTGTTGATGTATGCTATCTGGCGCGGGCATATGCGCTTTTACATAGTACATTTGCGCTTTTTTAATGGACATTTGGGCTTCAATTTATAGGACATTTGCGCTTTTAAAAAAAGGACATTTACGCTTTTTATATAGGATGTTTGGGCTTTTATAATATTTGCTTCAAATGACTTCCCTCATTTTTTATCCGGGCTTAGGACTGGCAGGTTTGACCTAGCAGAGTCAAAGTCATACTTTTTATACGACCACGGTCGTATATTGGTATTTAGTCGTTGTCGTCGTCAGCGTCGTCCGAAGACATTTGGTTTCCGGACAATAACTTTAGTTTAAGTGTATGGATCTCTATGAAATTTAAACAAAAGGTTCAATACAACAAAAGGAAGGTTTGGATTGTTTTTGGGGATGATGGTCCCAACCGTTTAGGAATTGGGGGCCAAAAAGGGGCCAAAACAAGCATTTTTCTAGTTTTCAGACAATAACTTGTGTTTAAGTGTATGGATGTCTCTTAATTTGTACCACATTTTAAGAAAAGAAAATTTCTTCAAAATTAATTATTTTGGAAGGGGGGGAACTATTTTTTTTCCTCAACAGAAAATTCTCTTCAAATATTATTTTTTTTGGAAAAGGGGGGGGGGGGGGGAATTTTTTTTCCCTCAAGATTTAAGAAATTGTCAATTTTCCAAAGAAAAAAATTGGGGGTCACAATTTATTTTGCAAATTCTTTGTATATAGTCTGAAAACAGATTTACTAAGTATTGCGCAACAGCAGAGTGTATTGCACAACAGAAAGAAATCTTCGATTGAATATAAATTCAAATCATACAACCAATTTTGCAGTTCTTTGACTGCATTTATTCTGTGTCAGAAACCTATAATGTGTCAAATATTTAATAACAATCCAAATTCAGACGTGTATCAAGCTTGAATATTGTGTCCATTTTTGCTCCAACTGTTCAGGGTAAGACCTCTGCTGTCGTATCCAGCTGTGCTTGGCGAAGCAGTTTATCTTTATTGTTAAAAGTTTAATAGTCATTTCATAGCACATTCGTGTTTAAAAGTCATTGCATAGCACATTGATATAGTTATATATGGCGAAGTAAACATTCTAAAGACATAAAAGACATGTAAAGTCTTCACAGGTTAGTTTCGCTGAAGACCAAAGAATGAACAAATTTAGCGCTTGTAATCTGTCCTGACTGGTATTTCGCCCACATTTATAATAAATATTCTAGTTGTTCTTTCTCAATTCTTGCATGTGGTTCCTGTTAGTCAATATAACGAATTTTAATATAAATAACTGACTGTTGTTCAATGATAAAAATCCATTATGACAAAAGCCATATACATATTTGCCCCTTACTAGTCTCTATAACTTTCAACTCTTATGATAAAGTTTGTGTCAATGTGAATTAACTAACGACATACCGGTATATAAGTTGAATTTATTATACCCCCCCCTTTAAAAAAGTGGGGTGTATACTGTTTTATCTCTGTCTGTCCGTCCATCCGACAGTCCGTGCGTCCATTCATCCATCCGTCAGTCCGTTCATCCATCCATCCGTCAGTCTGTTTGTCCGTCCCATGAATATTTTCGTCGCATCTTTCTCAGGAACTACATTACAAAGATTTCTGAAATTTGGTTTCAGGGTTTATATAAGTCAGCTATATTGTGTGATGCGTTTTCAGATTCATCACTCAACAACTTCCTGTTTACCGAAATATTTGGGTGGGGGTATCATCAGTGAGCAGTAGCTCGCAGTTTCACTTGTTTATGTAATGATTACAACTCATTAAATTACTGTAACGGGTAGACAACTACTGGTAAAAAGCGCAAATGTCCGGTTTATTTGATACAGGTGTATCAAAATTCATAGCACAAATGTCCTATGAGATACAAGTAAAAAGCGTAAACGTCCTGTGCCCATGCTATCATAGGTCAACTATAACATGAGAATAGGATGTTATTTCAGAAAATTACATTTGATGGAATACTTGTCCTTTCTGTGTAAATATTTTACTCTGCGTCTCAGTAACCTAAGATAAAGATTTTTTTATGAAAAATAATTATTTACTAAAATGCAACAACAAAGTTTTAACCTTTTGTAACTGAGATATATAACTCTAAGATAATATAAACCATCAATATTTTGGAATTGTTTTACTGACGCCATATAAATGTACATATTTGCCAGCGTTTTTTTATTTCCATGATATAAAATACAAAGGTTGAGCCTTGAGGATTAAAATTTTTTGAAACTATAGCAGAAAGTTTGTTCTTTTAAAGTGGATGCTTACAATGTAATGAAACTTTAAAGTAATATTTTATCCTGTTTGATGTACAGAAATTTTTACAAAGAGTGACTTTCTATAAATCATAGAACACACTTTTGAAAATGAGTAAGTACTTGATACATTTGAAAGGAATAGTTCCAAAAAAATCTGGTTAATTTGTCTAGCATTTGTTTGTGCTTTTTAATAATTTTCATGAAGCAGGCTGTATTCATTTGTCATGAAGATTGATGAAGTAAAGCAAAGCATTCAATATTTCTAATGAACTTGTAAAAGGTTTTTCGTGTACATTGTACTTGACCAAATTACATTTCATTACTTTGTTGGAAGTCTTCATTAGTTATGTAACCAACAATTGAGATTTTAGAAGGTAATGCTTAAATTAAGTATTGAAACTTCACATAAGTTTGACACTTTTGTATTACATAAATCAAAGTTTCATGCAAGATAACAACACAATATCGTCAAAAAGAATAACAATAATAATGATATATAAATTCTTTATTAATAAACAAAAACTATAGAAAATAGACATATACAGGTAACTACAATGCATAAGTGCCAACCAATCATTGTTAGCTTTAAATCTGCCAAAATTTAGAAAAGTTTTGAAAGAATTCAATGGAGATGATTTTATTTGTTTAAAAATTTGTTGTAGGCTGGAAAACCTTTCTTTAACACAACACATGCAGCAAGACGGAAGAAAGTGGACCAGCATTATGAAGATTTAGAACAATGTTATTTCACAATACGACAGAAAAAACTGTTTGAATTTGAAGACAAGAGCAATGGTTTAGATGAATTTACTGAAAGTCTTTCAAAATTTACTAGATTTAGTTCATTCCGACCATTAGCCACACTTAGTTATGCTAGTGATATGTATAATGGATCTAGTAATATTGTATCCAGGTAAGATCTGATGATAATAAATTAAAATATTGACACACAAACAAGTAACAGACAGCAAAAACAAGTACCAAATATACAGACAAACAAGTATCAAATATACAGACAAACAAGTAACAAACAGACATACAATCAAGTAACAGACTAACAAATAAGCAACTGATAGACAAATAAGTTACCGACAGACAAACAAGTAACAAACAGACAAATAAACCAATCAAATAGATCTATTTATAGGTATTTAAGTAAGATCTGATGGCAGTAACAAACAGAAAGACAAACAAATAAGTAACTAACAGATAAAAACACCAAGTAAAACGCATAATGGATGTAGAAGTTCATGCAAGTTTTAAGAACTTAAGCATACAGACAAATATTCAAGTGACATACACAAACAGATAAAAAAGTAGTGAATTTTTATTTAATTAATTCAGAAATATTACTGTATTTATGGGAATGTCATTGGACTTTTTTATTTGGCTCAATATGATTTTCAAGGAAGTTGAAGCAATGTTAAATCCAGGTTGATAACAAACATACAAACAAAAACAGAGTATCAAAATCAAACAAATGATGTTTACTTTTAAAGGGCTATTGATACAGATGTAGGAAGAAATTTCAAAATTCTCTAACGACCACCATACTTTGAGTAATTTTGATTGCCTACATCAAATGAACATATAACTTTAAATGACCTACATGTATGAGTGATGTCCAAATTAAAAATTTCCTTCCTACTCTTCCAATTTCATTTAAATGGAATAGCCACAGACAGGTTATGATCCTGTCAATAGTCAAAATAAGGTAGAAAATAACAAACACATAGCATATAGTTAACCTTGATTGATTGATTATTTTGTGTTGAACGCCACTTTCAACACTTTTGTGCTATTTCGTGTCAGTCATTTTTTATTGGTGGAGGAAGACAGAGTGCCTGGAGAGAACCACTTACCTTCAGTAGGAAAACTGACAATCCTAGTCAATTAAGATTGGAGGTAAGTGCACCTGCGCCATACGGGACTCGAACTCACAACCTCAGTGTTGACTGGCTAGTGATACAGTAGTTGGACTACTTATACCACTCGGCCACTGAGGCCCCAAGTTAACCTTAAAGTAAGATTACAATTGTGATGTGATATATTTATTAAAATTGAGATTTTTTTTATTACAGTATAGAATTTGATAGAGATTGTGATTATTTTGCTATAGCTGGAGTTACAAGAAAAATTAAAGTAAGTTTTCACCTAAAACAACTGGACAGAGAGTGAAGATTTAGTGGATTTAAAAAGAAAAGCTAGGTCACATAAGGAAATTTGGAAATCATCCTGAAACAAAGTACAAATTTTTTTTTTAAGATGTGGACTTTTGACCCAGATTTTGCTATTCCAGAACATGGAAATATGATAGTACGAGTAAGACAAGTTATCCTATGGACATACAATATTGTTCATGGTCCATCCTCTATCAAGTTAAAGTTTTGAATTAAGGTAGTTAACCATGGAGTTGTGGTCACAATACATTGATACTTTGAATATATGTTCATTTTGATGTTGACTTTTTAAAAATATATGCCAAACTCTTGTTTTGACCCAGATTATGTGATTCACTGAACATGGAAATGTGATAGTCCTAGCTGGATATGGTTTCCTATGGACACATTATCTTGGTCATCGATAAATTGGAGTCTAAATGAAAGGCAACTGGATAAAAATACAAATGACAATGGAAATTAAATTTGTTCTTAAAATTGAATATGCATATAATATTATGTTTTCCCAATATATGAACATGGTAGTTATATGCATGATATTGATACATAGTACATTGATCACATGGCTTATCTTTTCTCTGCAGGATATATAAATATGGTGCTGTGTCAAAGGATGACATAAATATATTGTCATATTAATTGGTGTAATACCACCATTGATTTTCCCCTATTAGTCTTTGTTAAATTTGCACTTTTCAAAAAATTGTGCAGAATTTATCTTTGTTTCAAATAAAGAAATACTTGGCATGAGTAAAGTTTTATCCTGTCCAGTACTATAGACAAAATTTCACATAACGTTTCATTGCAAATAAGAAAATAACCATCACTGGAAGTGAACCAATCAAATTTTCACCCTTTTTCTTCCTGTGTACCAGCATTAGTAACCATGTAACCTCAAGTTTCCAAAATATTCTATAGAAACACCAAATAAAAAAATAATGGTGCTTTGAAACACCCAAGATATATGTCTATGACACAGATTTTTTTTACTGCAATGAAATGTAGGATTAATTTCCTACAACTGTCAAATTCAAGGGAATATTTTTTTTCGACCCTTTTTCGTATGCAACCGGATGTGACGTACTATGATTTGGTGGTATTACACCTAAAAACATGTTTTGCTTTTGGGGTAGAAAGGTAGGATACATAGCCGTATATTGGTGTCATGATTGATCAATTGGTGTTTAACGGCACTTTCAGCACTATTGTGCTATTTTGTTGTGGTCAGTTTTTATTGGTGGAGGAAGCCAGAGTGCCAGGAGAGAACCACTGACATTCTGTAGGAAAACTGGCAATCCTAGTCAATTAAGATTGGAGTCAAGTGCACCTGGCACGTGTGGGATTCAAACTCACAACCTCAGTGTTGTTAGGCCAGTGATACAGTAGTCAGACTACTAAGCCCACTCAGCCACCGAGGCCGAGTGTTGTCATGATCAACATTTTCTATTTCAGATATATGAATATAAAGTGATAAAGGATGCTATAGATATATAGACACATGACTTACGTTTTCTATTTCAGATATATGAATATGATACTGTGATAAAGGATGCTGTAGATATATAGACACATGACTTACGTTTTCTATTTCAGATATATGAATATGATACTGTGATAAAGGATGCTGTAGATATATAGACACATGACTTACGTTTTCTATTTCAGATTTATGAATATGATACTGTGATAAAGGATGCTATAGATATATAGACACATGACTTACGTTTTCTATTTCAGATTTATGAATATGATACTGTGATAAAGGATGCTATAGATATATAGACACATGACTTACGTTTTCTATTTCAGATATATGAATATGATACTGTGATAAAGGATGCTATAGATATATAGACACATGACTTACATTTTCTATTTCAGATATATGAATATGATACTGTGATAAAGGATGCTGTAGATATATAGACACATGACTTACGTTTTCTATTTCAGATTTATGAATATGATACTGTGATAAAGGATGCTGTAGATATATAGACACATGACTTACGTTTTCTATTTCAGATATATGAATATGATACTGTGATAAAGGATGCTATAGATATATAGACACATGACTTACGTTTTCTATTTCAGATATATGAATATGATACTGTGATAAAGGATGCTGTAGATATATAGACACATGACTTACGTTTTCTATTTCAGATATATGAATATGATACTGTGATAAAGGATGCTGTAGATATATAGACACATGACTTACGTTTTCTATTTCAGATATATGAATATGATACTGTGATAAAGGATGCTGTAGATATATAGACACATGACTTACGTTTTCTATTTCAGATATATGAATATGATACTGTGATAAAGGATGCTATAGATATATAGACACATGACTTACGTTTTCTATTTCAGATATATGAATATGATACTGTGATAAAGGATGCTGTAGATATATAGACACATGACTTACGTTTTCTATTTCAGATATATGAATATGATACTGTGATAAAGGATGCTGTAGATATATAGACACATGACTTACGTTTTCTATTTCAGATATATGAATATGATACTGTGATAAAGGATGCTGTAGATATACATTATCCTGTACATGAAATGGTGTGCAATTCTAAAATCAGGTAAATATTTCATGGCATTGTTCATCTCAATGCTCATGCATGACTGCAGGGAACATCTGAACTTACTAGCTCATGTACTGGGAACTTGATCTCATAGACTTTCAACAGAGTGTTTTATAATGACTAAGTAACAATGCAGGAACGACTTCAATGTGTCCATTCTTGTTATATATAACATTGATATTAAAAATGAAATAAAGCAGCATCTGCAAAACATACCAGTATTTTGTTTAAGAATTGTTCCAAACAAATATAATCACAGGTATTTTTGAAGGTGAATTTAAAACTTAACAAGATATCATGTTGTAAAGTAGTATCATATTTAATTTCAATTTCTGTAATTATTGTATAATTGAACTCCTTCATTATGATTAATGTTTAGGAAATTTTACATGGATATTTCCCTTAAAAATGAAGGTGCTCAAAATGTAAGAAAGTGTTTCAAATGCATTTAATCATGATGTATTTGATGTTTTACAGTTGTGTTACTTGGAGTTCATACCATAAAAATCTGCTAGCTAGCTCAGACTATGAAGGGACAATCACCCTATGGGATGCTTTTACGGGTCAAACTTCTAAAATTTTTCAGGTAAGATTTAACAAATAGGAGGTACTTATATTTTTCTCTTTTTCAGTTGTTAAAGTTTTGGTCCTGGAAACTTGAGCAAAAAAGTTACGTATGCATAATACGCAGTGACTTTCTGGAAAAATCCCAACTTGAAACTCAGTAATGCATACATTGAAAAATGATTTGTTTTCAGAAAAGAATTGAACTAGAATCCTGGGGGATTATGTTAATGTATGTATATGTTTGGACCTGAAAAAAAGTATAAAAAATAATGTAGACATACATAATTCTCACTCCCCCCCTCTCAGAAATCTATCCTAGGGTAAAAATCTGCGTACTATACACAACAAAAAGACGGTAAGAGTGGTTTTTCTTAGTGTAGGTGACATTTTTTTCATTAATGATTTGATTCATTTAAATGAGAAAACAAGGCATGGGAATAAGCTGCCATATACAGCAGCTCCATTTCTTTTCATTTCATCTTGAATTCAGCAGTACAAGACTGTTCGAGACAGTTAAATTTTAAAATTTAAAATGCATTTCTTGCCAAGCTTTATAAATATTTGAAATTTAACTGTTGAGAGTGGAGAAATATCATAATACACAAGATTTAGTGGTGGAATCTGTTTCTCTAATGATTTTAAGACCATATCTAAACAAGTTTATCCTTCCTCTTCAAAGATTTGAAGAAAGTTGTGTTCTTTATATGTGACGTCATCAGGCATAGTCGCCTTTTTTCATGACGCCACAATAGGAAATTCAGAAGAAATCAAGAAAATTTGACGTCATAATTGAAATTTTGACCAATCATTTGCCCTCTAGAGAGAAGAAATATTTTTCTCACACCAATCGAGACATGTGAAAATAGCATGAAAATTAAAGAAACATACCTTTCATTAGTCTGGTGTTGCCATTCTTTGACAAAACTCAGAGTATATAATGTTATTATATTTACAGGAACATGAGAAACGATGTTGGAGTGTAGATTTCAACAGAATGGATCCTAAACTATTAGCTTCAGGTTCTGATGATGCCAAAGGTTTGTCTTCTTGCATTAAAAAATTTGTGCTACATAAATATAGAAAGTGTAATGATGTCATAATCACACAAGTTATATAAAAGCATTTGGCCAGTGAAAAAAATATTTTTTTAGACTTTCTTATATCATGATGCTTAATATTACTGTTGCTCTCAACCAATTGCTTAGGTTGTGAATAAGGTAGGAATGTGTCTGTAAGGCCAACTTCACAAACTTTGTTCAACTTAACATGCCCATATTCGATTACACAAAGTTGTATCCGACTCAGAACTTTTGAATGCCTTGAAGGATACTAATGATGCTTGATTGTTTTCTGTTATTGCACACACTGCGTCAGTGATTGGTATAAAAAACCACTGATATTGTAATAAAAAAACCATGTTGGAGAAGTTAGATTTACTTGTAACATGTTGAGATTATTGTCTTTTACAGTGAAATTATGGTCCACCAATACAGATCATTCTATAGCATGTTTAGAAGCCAAGGCTAATGTGTGTTGTGTATATTTCAATCCAGAAAGTCGTTATCATTTAGCATTTGGATCTGCAGGTTTGTACGCATTATTCTTAATAATATTACACATTTAATAAATGCAGGTCTTATTTAAGAAAAGAAAAGAAACTAATAAGATATTTTGTGTATACGAGTCCATGTGAAACCTCTCAATTTGACTTGCATTTTCCATGATGTTATCAATCAAATTCATCCAAAATAAAAATATCAAAGCTTTGTAGAAAGTATCCATTGAAATATTTGAGATTTAAAGATTGGTTGATCTGAAAAGACCCATAAAATCAGATTAAAATAAATAGCAGACTGTCTTTGTTTTTAGGTCTTATAGTCTGCTATTTTTTGGTGGGAGCCAGATGTTGGTGTGGTCTGCAATGCTGTTCAGTATTTTTGGTGATTCCTGTTATCGATTTTGTACATGTTCTATTATGAAAAAGCGCCTGCCATAAAACCAGGTTCAACCCACCATTTTTTCTTAAAATGTCCTGTACCAAATCAGGAATATGGCAGTTGTTATCAAATAGTTCGTTTCTATGAATGTTGGTGTTTGTTTTTGTTGCACTTCAGTATTCCTGTTGTTCCTTTGTTTTCCTTTTATAGTTGATGTGTTTCCCTCGATTTTAGTTGTAACCCGGATTTGTTTTCTCTCAATCTTTACTTCTAACCGAGCTTTATCAATTTTTCTGAAATAACCCTCTCAGATTTGGTATATACATCATTGTTGAATATAAACACTGAATTAAAACATTTGATTGTTACAGATCATTGTGTTCATTATTATGATTTACGGAACACCAAACAGGCTGTGATGGTTTTCAAAGGGCATCGGAAGGCAGTATCTTACTGTAAATTCTTAAATTCTCAGGAAATAGTTTCTGCGTAAGTATTTTTTTTAAGTAATAAGGTTAGCTATAAAAAAAAATTGGGAAAGACCAAAATTAATTAAATATAAACAGTCTCTTTGCTATAACAATGAGAAGTACAGAGCTTCCAAGAATGTTAGTCTGAAGGTCATGTTTATAATTCCTTGTATTAGAATAATAATGAATGTTGATAAATACTAAATTTCCTTCCAAATTTTGTCCCATTTTAAGTATGATTTTCTTGTTTAGGATATATTGTGTTAATTTATGATCAGAAGTACTTGTGGTCTGTTTGTTGTTACGGTAGTCACCAAGATTTCTGTGAAATCATAAAAGTAAACAGCCTTTGTGTTGGATTTTTATAATTATTATTTGCCTGTTAAATAAATGGAAATAGTTTTATTCTGAATATAAGACATACACAGAAATACAGCTCAGATGTAGTTTTCAATAAAGTAAACTTATAAAATAAAAAATGCTATTTGTCAGTTGACTATTCACATAAAAAAAATTTACCATAGAAATAATGAAATATGGAGAGGGGATATACTGGTTACCTCTGCCGATCCATATCTGTAACATTTCTGTCACATTTTTCTCAGCAACTACAAGTCATAGCTCGTTGATATTATTAGGGAGTACTAGCTTATAGTACATCTTGATTTTGATAGCCAAGACGATCAGTTTTTGTCATCTCATATCTATTGACAGTGCTTGAAAATGGTACAAGAATTACAATTTGAATTAATCAGTAGTTATTGAAATTTATTTTTTATTTTTTTTGGGAGTATTTTTTGTTCTCTTGTTCTTTTTTTTTTCAATATGACTTGAAAAACCAAAGGTATTGTAATTTGATGATATTTAATAATGATATGATGTATTTGAACAGATCAACAGATAGTCAGTTAAAGCTGTGGGAGGTCAGTAAACCATCCTGTCTACGGACATTTAAAGGACATACTAATGAGAAAAACTTTGTTGGACTGGCGACAGATGGTGATTATATAGCTTGTGGTAGGTCTGGCAGCACAGTGTGATTTATTTTAATTTTTGACAGTGTGTTTGTCAATTTATATTTATTTAAATGGATAGTGTAAGTTTTGTATTATCAAAAGGATATTGAGTTGAATTTTAAGGCAAGTCAATAATTTTTAAAAGTACAAACTTTTAAATTCAATAGCAGAAAAGGACTAACAAATTTTGATATAAAACAATGGAAGCCATTAAAATTGTACTGGTTTTAGATTTTAGAGCATTTTAATATTACAGTTTATGGTGGGGAGGGGAGGCTCCTAACTGTTTGAATATGTCTAAGTTGAATTTATGAATACAAAAACAACCATCCATACATTTTTGTCGAGCCTGCAACTTTTGTCGCAAAAGCCAGACATAGTGATCCTACATTCTGTCAGCGGCAGCGTCCACAAATATTCACTCTGTGGTTAAAGTTTTAAAAATTTTAATTACTTTCTTAAACTATCCTGGATTTGTATTAAACTTGGACAGAAGCTTGTTTATGATCAAAAGCTAGTATCTAGAAGGAAATTTTGTAAAAATTTATTTCCTGTTTTTCCATATATTACTTATAAATGGACTTAGTTTTTCTTCCAGTTAACATTACATACAGTCCGCAGTTAAAATTTTTTAAAACATTTATTAGATTCATAAACCATCCAAGATTTTTACCAAATTTGGACAAAAGCTTCTTACAATCAAAAGATAGTATCTAGAGGAAAATTTTTAATAATTTTTTCCCCATTTTTGTTGAGCCTGCGACTTTTGTCGCAAAAGCGAGACATAGCAATCCTACATTCCGTTGTCGTCTGAATTAAGGGATAAATCATCAAGCAATGTAAAAATTATCTTCTTTATCATTTGTTCATTCAATAAATTTATGTTTCAACTCTTTTATAAATCTATAGATTTGATTGCATACTGTATTCATTTTTTACAAGCATAACTTTTTTCATACATTTCAAACATTTTATTTCATTAACTGTAAATCTTTTATGTGCATTCCCCTATCACACTGAAAGCATAGACAACAGCAAAAGTATAAGAGACACTTGGTTCCGCGGAACCCTTACAAATTTTTTTATTAAAGGTCACAAAGTGAAAGTGGCCTCTAAACCTGTCGAAAGACGGGACCCTCGTGGAAAGGATTAATATTTCACCTATATTTCTTTCTTTTTATTTTAGGTAGTGAGAATAATTCCTTGTTTGTTTATTATAAAGGATTATCAAAGCAACTGTTGACATTTAAGTTTGAGACTGTTAAAAGTGTGCTGGTGAGTACATTCAGAGCTAGCCATCCATTGAGATCACTATGTGAATTTTGTAGTACCCAGTATTTTGGCCTGAATAGAAAACATTAAAATCTTAGGACCAATTTTAGATCTTTAAGAACCTACTCCATTTTTGTCTCATTTTCTAAAGAACTGAAATTTTGTATCAAGTTTCATGTTATACTGTTTGATGTGTTTTCACATTCATTGCTCATCAACTTCCTGTTAACCAAATACTTATAGTGTAGGTATCATCAGTGAACTATAGCTCACAGTACATCTTGTTTCATTCATCGATAGAAAAGACGATAATATGATTAATATTTTAACAAATAGTGAAGTCTTTCTTTTTTCTGGTTTTACAGGAAAAGAATAAGAAAGAGGAGGAAGTGAATGAGTTTGTTAGTGCTGTTTCTTGGAGACCTGTGAGTATTCTTCTTTGTAATGTCAATTCAATTCACATATGTGGTTAAAATGTTACTGCACAGAAACAAAAGTTTCAAGTGTGATATATAACTAATCTCAAGACAGGCTTGCAAAACATTTAAAATTATACAGTGGAAAGTTGAGAAATATCTGTTGAATCTGTTTTTTAATGATGTTTTGGGCAATATGTAAGCAAACATAAATGTGTTTTTCATCAATCTGCAAAAAAAATAATGTTTCTGTCGTAGAAGCATTACCAAGAATATGGTTGTCTTTTTTAAGGTTACTTAACAAAAGCAAAATCAGTTGAAGACCAGAATATTTGATGTTGAAATTGAATTACATTTACATAATGACCATCTAACAAAAATCAAGCTAGCCACCACATGAACATGTTTTATATAAATGTTATTATGAGTATACTCCCAACTTTTGCATGAGACATGGTCATTGTATGTCATAGTTTTATTTTTGGTATTATCATTTACAGGGCTCCAATGTTATGGTTGCTGCCAATAGTCAAGGAACAGTAAAAGTGAGTTTGGATTTCTTTATCAGGATTCAAATATTTATTTAGAAAACTACAGCATATTTTGTAAAATACACCACAAGTAATAAATCAGATTATGGATCTGGCAAGGAATTTAATGTGACTATAAAAGAAAGCAGTCCCTTTTGTTCTTGTTGTTCTAATGAAGATTAAGATATAGATCAAACTAATGTTTTATACTCTTCATTTGAATATAATGACTTAGTTTAAAAAAATGAAGCTAATGTCAAGTCATCAAAATGTGTGCAAGGCATTCTTTAATGGGGTACTTGCATTGTCAAATGAAATAGACAATGAATATATATATATGGAGACAGTTAAATTTTCATGGAAAAACATAAAGCTTGCCGATCATTTTAAAAAGTTATACAATAAAAAGTTGAGAAATATCTTGGTAGAATCTGTTTTTTCTAATGATATTTGGAGTTAAGATTGCCCTATGTGGTAAAGATTGCCCCATGTGCAATCAAAACCTTACTGTCACTGGTTTGTCCGCTATGTTTAGCTATCTTCATAGCCAGGATTCAATTGTCATTCCAATATGAGGCTCTTCCTTCCCTTTGTAAACAAAGCCATGTCCTAATTTTAATAGAACATGGGGTGCACATGATTGACGTCACAATTAAAATTGCGCTGTTAGTTACTTTTTGATCTACATCTGTTATCTATTAATTTGATGCCATTGTGTTGGTGTTACTTGCTAGAAAATTTAATAAATATCATTCTGAAAGTAAATCTATGTACTTGTGCACTCTTTAGTCGTGAAATGGTTGGGTTTTTAGAACATTTTTGCTTCACCTTATCAAAATGGCTGCCTACCAAACGTTGCATATAGGTACGCTTCAAAGTACAAAAGTTCTAAATTTTCCTGTTAGAATCATAGATACAAAAAGCGTTATATTTGTCAACATTTTACAACTTAATAATGCTTGGTGTAAAGATATTAATATGTATAATGTTAAAATGAGCATAGAGATTGACATGAAAGAATTGTTTCTTGAATAAACCACGACCATCACAAATCTACATGGGTGAATTTTTATTTCTAAGACATATGGTTCTATATACATACAGTGATATTTTTCTTTATTTATGTTTGCAGGTGTTAGAAATGGTATAGCAGCCAAAACGATATTTATCTATGTACTAAAAACAACAAACAGTGCAGAAGTTTGGACTACAAACAAAAGATTTTTGTGCTAGAGATAAAAACAATATTATTTTGATAAATTTTTATTTTTAATGCAATAACAAAAAAGGTTGTTAAAAACTGAAGTGGCATGACACATTCTCTATTCCCACTGTAATTCAGTGGCAAAATTATTGTACATTCTCTTTTTCCACTGTAATTCAGTTGCAAAAACATTGTGCATTCTCTTTTCCCACGTTTACTCAGGTTGTTTTCATGTGCCATTTGAACTTTTAGTATTCAGAAAGATAAAGGTTGTATACTAACAAAAGTCATGATCAAACCTACATAATATACTTAAGGGGACACTATTAATTTATATTTGGGGTTTAGGTTCAAGTAGAGAAGGCTAGTATAAGATAGGTTGCAGTAGACTGCCATATGGACATGGTCTATATTAAGGCTAAAAACTCATTCAATATCAATTTCAGGCCAGTAACACTGCTGTTGATTCATTATAACTAGACATTCATAATTATGTATTGTTCTGTGTGGAATATTAACTTAGACAGCTGTTTGTGTAGATCATTTCTGTAGTCTTTTCAACTGTCTGTTTTTGATAACATCATTTAAGTAAACATACCTTCTAACTTTTCAAAATCTCCATAGGGGATTTTAAGCGCAAGAGGACAAACCATTCCTCTTTTATTGTCATTAGTGTTTGTAATCTACTACAATATTGTTTAAATGAGTATATATATATATATATGCTTAAATACCTTTTAAACTCCTTTAAATGAATGTTTTGAGGTGTTCAGTTCATATAATAAAGAATTTCAAAGTTAAGGTCACCACCTCTTATGGGGGATATCCCCCATAAATAGGGATAGTTGGTAGGTCTGAGTAAACTATGTAATTGTCTAACTATCAATGTATTGTCCCGTTTACCAATTACCTTACCTTTCAAATCTTGAAATGGAATCATATTGGGTATTTCAGTTTTAAATCTCATATTTGATTTTCAATTGTAAATTACAGATGTTGAAAAAGCTATGAAAGCTTGGGACTAATCTAAAGGTAAATTCAGCCTTTAACAGTAATTGTGGCTTTGTCATGAAATTAAAAAAAAAAATGAATGTCTAATTAACCTTCAGTGTAGAATGGTTTTGAGGTGTAAATTATTGCATATTGTTAACCACTGTTTTTGTATGATTGTATTTTGTCTACCTCTTTCTCGTGACCACCATCTTTACAAAAATATATTGTGTTGTTAATGTACCTCAATTAAGAGATCACAATTACTCTGTAATGACGTAAGTTACACAGGTGTGTTTTACCTGTTGTGGTTTCTTAATACAGGTACATCTTACCTGTCATGATTTCAGTATACAGACTTTACTGTATTGTTGTTCATTTCATTGTGCCACAAGTCATTTTAAATGAATTTTGTATATTTTTTTTGTATGTTAAGTTTCTTATTTATTATAATTGTTAAACTATTTATAACTTATTTCACCCTAAATTACTTCTGAAAGCTTATAAAAGTGGTATTTATGTAATGTATTGTATATGAATTGAACCAGTTAGAAATACAATGTAGGCTTAATGCAAATAGACAACTGTTAAATTTAATAGGATGGTGGGGTTTGAATAATATTTAGCACCAGCTAGCCAGAAATAAGATGAAAAATTTGCTGAAGAAGCTTTTCTGATATATTCTCTCATCTACATAACTTAAGAAATTCTTTCAAATGGAATATTGATTGATTGATGTTATTTTAAAGAAGAAAAAATGATACAAATGTGTGTTTTTTTAATTTAACATGAACTTTTTAATGTAACTTTTATCTGATATGAGCTTTATTCACTTGAAAATTTAAATTTTTAATATGATTTTCAGATTTTGCTATTAGGAATTACACATTTAAAATGAATTTTACCCGATATGAGTTTGCATATTCTCATGTAAATTTCAACATGAATTTTAATCATTATTCTGACATTTTGATAACTTTAAGAAACATTTTATGAACAGATACATTTAAATGATAAAATTTAAGTTTTGAAATGTATGCACAAGCTCTTTCCACATGAAATTGTGTTAAAATTTAAGTTTTGAAATGTATGCACAAGCTCTTTCCACATGAAATTGTGTTAAAATTTAAGTTTTGAAATGTATTCACAAGCTCTTTCCACATGAAATTGTGTTAAAATTCATGTAAATTTTACAAACAAAAACAATTTATATGAGCAATATTTTCCTGTATTCATAGGTTAAATTTATTAAATGGAAAAAGATTAATACAGTGCTACTATGAGTGTACAAGTAACATATCTTTAGTCAATATGCTAGTGTTGGGTGTTATAGTGTACCAGTCAATTAACTTCAGTCCATAGGTCAATGTTCAAGTTAATTAGATAAAATTTGTGTCAGTGTTAATATTAGAGTGTACAAGTTGAATAACTTTAAATCATATCTCAGTGTTTGAATTTTGTCTATATGTCAGAACATACTAGGTGTTGATGTTTACAAGTTAATTTACTTTAGTGCACATGTCAGTGTTGGATTGGACATGTTGATTTACTTTAGTGCACATGTCAATGTTGGAGTGTACAAGTTAATTTACTTAAGTGCACATGTCAGTGTTAGAGAGTACAAGTTGACTTACTTTAGTGCACATGTCAGTGTTGGAGTGTACAAGTTGATTTACTTTAGTGCACATGTCAATGTTAGAGAATGCAAGTTAATGAATGTCAGTTCATGTGAGTAGAGTGTACAAGTTAATAGATTTTTGTTCATATGTTGTTGTAAGTGTGAACAAATTTATTAACTTGAAATGATAGTTCTTGGATGTAAAAATGTCTACAGATCCTCTGTAAACAAGGTTTATAAAAATAAATGAAGAATCAATTATTATTGTTCTCAATATTAATATGCGACCAAATGACAATTTGTGAGAAACAAGAGGCTTAACGGCTCAATTGCCATAACATGTTTTGCATTGCTGATCATTAGTGCTTTTTACCCTTTCTACCTTTCCATTATAGATAAGTTTTGGAGAAAAAGACAAAAACTTGAAAAAAATTAGTAAAAAAAAATTTGTCATTAAGGGCAATAACTCTTGATAATTTTGATTGACATGGAGGAAAGGTAGATCTTGATGTTCTGAAGATTGTTGGTCTTTTTAAAGTTTAGAACAATAACAGACTAAATGGTTGTCAAAAGGGGGTGTATAAAAATGTTTGGGATTTTACATTCCTTTTCCATCTGCAGGTCCAGTAATGCTCATCTATTTTTATGCCCCATTTATGGGCATTATGTTTTTCGGACTGTGCGTCTGTTCGTTTGTCCATCTGTCTGTTCGTCTGTCCGTCCGTCTCTCCCGCTTCAGGTTAAAGTTATTGGTCAAGGTAGTTTTTGATAAAGTTGAAGTCCAATCAACTTGAAACTCAGTACACATGTTCCCTATGATATGATCTTTCTAATTTTAATGCCAAATTAAGAGTTTTGACCCCAATTTTACAGTCCACTGAATATAGAAAATGATAATGCGAGTGGGGCATCCGTGTACTATGGACACATTCTTGTTCAGTTTTTATACGACCGCAAAAAAATTTTTGTGGTCGTATATTGGTATGACGTTGGCGGCGTCGTCGTCGTTGTCGTTGTCGTCCTGCGTCATCCGAAGACACATTGGTTTTCGCACTCTAACTTTAGTTTAAGTGAATGGATCTCTATGAAATTTTACCACAAGGTTCAATACCACAAAAGGAAGGTTGGGATTGATTTTGGGGGTTATGGTACCAACAGTAAAGGAATTAGGGGCCAAAAATAAGCATTTTTGTAACTTCCAGACATAACTTGTGTGTTAGTGTATGGATCTCTCTGACATTGTACCACAAGGTTCCATATCACAAAAGGAATGCTGGGATTGATTTTGGGGGTAATTGCCTCAAAATTTTAGAAATTAGGGGCCAAAAAAGGGGCAAAAAACAAGCATTTTTCTAGTTTCATGACAATAACTTGTGTGTAAGTGTATGGATCTTTCTGAAATTGTACTACAAGGTTCCATATCACAAAGGGAAAGCTGGAATTGAGTTTGGGGGTAATTGCCATAACGTTTAGGAATTGGGGGCCAAAAAGGGGCCAAAAATAAGCATTTTTCTAGTTTCCAGACAATAACTTGTGTTCAAGTGTATGGATCTCTCTGAAATTGTACTGCAAGGTACCATACCACAAAGGGAAGGCTGGCATTGATGATGGGGGTAATTGCCTCAATATTTTAGGAATTAGGGGCCAAAAAGGGGCAAAAAACAAGCATTTTTCTAGTTTCAGGACAATAACTTGTGTGTAAGTGTATGGATCTTTCTGAAATTGTACTACAAGGTTCCATATCACAAAGGGAAAGCTGGGTTTGAGTTTGGGGGTAATTGCCCTAAACGTTTAGGAATTTGGGGCCAAAAAGGGGCCAAAAAACACATTTTTCTAGTTTCCAGACAATAACTTGTGTTCAAGTGTATGGATCTCTCTGAAATTGTACTGCAAGGTACCATACCATAAAGGGAAGGCTGGGATTGAGTTTGGGGGTGATGAATCATAAGGGGGTTCAAAAAATTTGGGGGGGGGATTTTTTTTCTTTTTTTCCTTTTTTTTTTCTTTTAAAATTTTCCATTTTATGTTGGTTATTTCTGATTTATATTTAAAAGCAAATAATAATGATATGGTAGGAGATACACACCAAACAGGATGTGTAAATTATTATATAATAAGTATTGTCCAATAGCAAGAAATTTTCAATTGCACAGTATTGCACAATAGCAAGAATTCTTCAATTGCACAGTATTGCGCAATAGCAAGAAATCTTCAATTGCACAGTATTGCGCAATAGCAAGAAATATCCAATAGCACAATATTGCGCAATAGCAAGAAATTGTCAATTGTACAGTATTGCGCAATAGCAAGAAATATTTAATTGCACAGTATTGTGCAAAAGAAGATACTTCGTATAAATTGCTTATTTCTTGACCAATTTCAATGGGGTTTTATTCTTGAATTCTTGGGGTTCTTTAATATGCTGAATCTAACCGTGTATTTAGTTTTTGGATTTTGGGCCCCGTTTTTAAATTGGTTCACATTGAGGTCCAAAGGGTCCAAAATTAAACTTTGTTTGATTTCATCAAAAATTGAATTATTGGGGTTCTTTGATATGCAGAATCTAACCGTGTATTTAGATTCTTAATTTTTTGTTCCGTTTTCAAATTGGTCTACATTAAGGTCCAAAGGGTCCAAAATTAAACTTAGTTTGATTTTAACAAAAATTGAATTCTTAGGGTTCTTTGATATGCTGAATCTAAACATGTACTTAGATTTTTGATTATGGGCCCAGTTTTCAAGTTGGTCCAAATCGGGGTCCAAAATTAAACTTTTTTTGATTTCAACAAAAATTGAATATATGGGGTTCTTTGATATGCTTAATCTAACCATGTATTTAGATTTTTGATTTTTGGGCCCTGTTATCAACTTTGTCCACATTGAGGTCAAAAGGGTTCAAAATTAAACTTTGTTTGATTTCATCAAAAATTGAATTCTTGGGGTTCTTTGATATGCTGAATCTAACCATGTATTTAGATTTTGGATATTGGACCATAATAAGTGAATGTTTAATTTAAAATTTTTAAGTTCTTAGACCACATTCATTCTGTGTCAGAAACCTATGCTGTATCAAATATTTAATCTCAATCCAAATGCAAAGCTGTATCAAGCTTGAATGTTGTGTCCATACTTGGCCCAACTGTTCAGGGTTCGACCTCTGCGGTCGTATCAAGCTGCGCCCTGCGGAGCATTTTATCTATTTAGTGTGTAGCAGACTATTGTTTGTCTGTCCAATGTTTTTTGCCATGGTTTTGTCGGTTTCCCATCCACTTATATCTTCCATCTCTTTAATGTGTCAGTTGCCTGATTTACTTATCATAATTTAAATACATAACATACACCAAATATAGTTAGACTTGCTTATAGTATCCCAGAAAAGATACCTAATTACGAAAATTGAACATGACCATAACAATGAAGTGAAGGTCAGATGAACGCTGCACAATCGTTCCATACACCATATATAGTTGACTTATTGCTTAGTGTCTGAGAAATAGAAATAACCATGAAAACTCAACATTGACCAATGAACTATGAAGATAAAGTCAAGCTCAGATGAAATATTGCTTATAGTATCTGAAAAACAGACACAACAACAAAAACTTATTGCCCATTGAACCATGAAATTGAGGTCCAGTTCAGATGAAACCTGCCAGTCTGAAATGTTCACTTTACAAGCATTCCACACACCAGATAAAGTTGACCTATTGCTTATAATATCCAAGATACAGCTTGACCATGAAAAGCTTAACCTTGAACACTGATCCATTAAATAAGGTTGAGGTCAAGTGAACCCTGTCTGAATGACATGTAAACGTTGCAAGGATCCCATATACCAAATATAGTTATTCTTCTCCGTGGAGTTTATTCACTGGGACCTTTAAATTTCTTCTAAGAGAAATCCATCACTCATTGATTAATTAACCTGAACAAAAAATTTAACTTTCAATGATGAAAATACATGTACCAATACTAAATAAGGACACACAAAACTGAATGTGAGGTATTTTTTCAAGATCATCAATACATTTTCAATTTGTTCAATATAAACACTGATACAAAAATTAAAAGTTGATTTCTGACAAAATTTTCAATATTGTACTATTGAAAATTGTTTTTTTTTTGTGTGTGTGTGTTTGACAAATAAAAACTGGAAAATGATGATGTTTAAATTCAGGGCTTCTTAAATGTATTCTATTACTGAACAACCACAAAAAAAATGCAAATTCAATTGGAACAATACTAAAAATTTTGTCAGAAATAAACTTTTCATAATTTAATCAGTGTTTATATTGAACGAAGTGAAAATATATTATTGATATTGAATAAATTCAACATCACATGCAGTTTTGTAGTTCATACATCTATTTTAATCAACTAAGAAGATAGTTTTTTTGGTCAGGTAATTTAATCAATGAATGATAGATTTCTCATAGAAGAAATTTAAAGGTCCCAGTGAATAAACTACACAGAGAACAATAGCTATTGTATTGATTCAATAACAAAAGTTTAAATACCTTGACCAAGTGGAGATAACTCTGTGCAGTTAGGATTCTACTTCGTCAAAATGATCTCCCCATTACGCCAGCTAATTTTTACAATCGTAAAAATGGAAGCCATTGTAGGGATGACGCTGCCAATTTAACTCTTGAAAACCGATAAATTTCTCTACAAAGCACTATTACGATCCTTATATGCCAGTTGTATTTTAAAAGACAAATGTACCCACTAGCTATTGAACATCATTTAATGTACTTTTCTGCATTTAGTCAACTTAAAACTATTGTCTGAATGGTTGTCAGGTGGAATTTTCGAAAGTTCAAAAACATTAAAAAACAATCTAATTAAATATTTTGTGGAAGGGCAGACTACAAATTTTCAGAGGTTGAAGACTAATAACCCGAGATAACACACACAAACTAGTTAAGAGCCTGTGTCGCTCACCTTGGTGTATGTGCATATCAAACAAAGGACACTCTCCAACATTGTAGACGAGAATAGACTTCATGACAAAAATCTCTATTTTATTGATCTTGTATTACTGATCTTTTAGTCTGTTTAGTTTCTCTCTATTTTCTTTAGTTTTTGCTCAAAACACTAAAGAGGGAAAAAAAATCTCATTTAAGGGCAATCACTCCTATGAAGAGTGACAGTCTACTAGTAAACTGTATCAGCAAAATTTGACTTTTTAATAGATCTTGCCTTGCTGATCATTTTTGTGATTTAAAGTGTTTATTTATCTATTATAATTTAAATCATATAAGGCATAACAGAAAAAAATGTTTCCCTCTAAATATCATAGTTTTCATGATAATAGGCAAAAATTTAAAAAAAATGGTAAAATTTGTCATTTATGGGCAATAACTCCTATAAGAATTTGTCTTACAGTTTTGACATATATGGACAATTGGTAGAGCTCATTATTTTGAACATTTTTGCCCCTTTCAGATTTTCTCTATTTATAACGGTTCAAAAAATAATAGACAAAACTTGCATTTTACCCCTATGTTCTATTTTTAGCCATGTCGACCACGTTGGTTGGTAGGCGGGGTCATCGGACACATTTTTTAAACTATATACTCTAATGATGATTGTGGCCAAGTTTGGTTAAATTTGTCTCAGTAGTTTCAGAGAAGACTTTTGTACAAGATTACAAAAATATACAAAAAAAAATAAATGTTAAAAATTGACTATAAAGGGCAATAACTCCTTAAGGGGTCAATTGACCATTTTAGTCATGTTGACTTATTTGTAGATCTTACTTTGCTGAACATTATTGCTGTTTACAGTTTATCTCTATCTATAATAATATTCAAGATAACCAAAAACCTTAAAATTACCAATTCAGGGGCAGCAACCCATCTACGGAATGTCTGATTTGTCTTAAAATTTCAGGGCTGATAGATCTTAACCTGATGAACATTTTTACCTCTTGTCAGATTTGCTCTAAATGCTTTAGGTTAAGAGATATAAGCCAAACTCTGCATTTTACTCCTATGTTCTATTTTTAGCCATGTTGGCCATGTTGGTTGGCAGGCGGGGTCATCGATGTCATCTCAGTAGTTTCAGAGAAGATTTTTGTAAAAGATTACAAAAATTTACAAAAAATTGTCAAAAATTGACTATAAAGGACAATAACTCCTTAAGGGGTCAATTGACCAATTTTGTCATGTTGACTTATTTGTAGATCTTACTTTGCTGAACATTATTGCTGTTTACAGTTTATCTCTATCTATAATAATATTTTAGATAATAACCAAAACCTGAAAATTTTTCTTAAAATTACCAATTCATGGGCAGCAACCAAACAATGGGTAGTCTGATTTGTCTGAAAATTTCAGGGCAGATAGATCTTTACTTGATGAACAATTTGACCCCCATGTCAGATTTGCTCTAAATGCTTTGGTTTCAGAGATATAAGCCAAAATCTACATTTTACCCCTATGTTCTATTTTTAGCCATGGTGGCCATCTTGGTTGGCGGGCTGGGTCATCGGACAAATTTTTTAAACAAGATACCCCAATGATGATTGTGGCCAAGTTTAGTTAAATTTGGTCCAGTAGTTTCAGAGGAGAAGGTTTTTGTTAAAGTTAACGACAACGGACGAAACAGACGACGACGGACGACGGACGCTAAGTGATGAGAAAAGCTCACTTGGCCTAAAAGATGAGCTGAAAATTAAGTTTTTTTTAAGTTATGCATTTTTAAGATCCACTTGGAAAGTCTTTCGTCAAGTACTTTTAGTAAAAATTTGTTATTCGAACACACCTACTCTGTTGTTATGACTCATTAGAAAGGTATTTCACTTGGCCCATATATTTCATTTTTTAGTACTGTGAATTTTTAATGTTATTAAATCAACCTGTAGCCTAAATGTATAAAAATAATATAATCTGAAGCAAGATGATGTATCAAATAATTTGCTTTATATGTTTTCATGACAAAATAGTCAACTGAAACACGCCCAAACATAAAAAGGTGCACACGACTCTCTCTTTTCGATGAAATTATTGCCCATTTTTAGGATTTTCCCAAGAAACTGTCGCCAGGGGAGAGATGCAAATGAATGCTTTAAAAAGACCAATCTATTATCTTTATGTTGAATTTTTTTAGGCCTACCACAATCGATTGACTATGATCTAAAAGTTTACAAATGTCTGGAAGCTCCATACTATAATCTAAGTAAAGACACGTATACAAGATGCATAAAATCCTAAATTATGCACCTTTATTAAACTTTTAAAGCCCATAGAAACAGATGTAAACAATTCAAATATACCAATTTGGCTTTTATACCTTCTCTAACAAAGAGTTCCATTTCTATTGTTTAATTTAAACTGGGTTTCCGCCTGTGTGGAAAACTTTCATTTGGTTCGCAATAACTCTGGTGGATAGTTGCCTCATTGGCAATCATACTACATCTCCGTATTTTATATATTAATTTGAAGAAACAAAGTAACACTTCTGCAAAGAATGAAAACATTTTTGAATAGATTTTTTTGCATTGACACCACTATTTGGGAATTTGCAAAACTTTAGCTATTGAAATCATACAACAATCACTTTTCTTTTGTGGTGTCAAGACATTTTCTCTTGTGACATCTACATTTTACGGGAACTGCCGTCATGTCCATAGTGGACAATTTGCAATAAGGTTTATTGTAAAAGTTTAAGTTGCTTAAAAATGAGACTGGTGACCCAAATGTTATTTAAAAGAGTACTTTCATTGGTAATTTTTTGGTTGATGTTTGATAAACTGTTAACACAGAGATATGTTCTAGTCGTTTTGTTATTTCAATAGTAAAATGCAAATGTTGAAATCAAAATAGAAATACTTTAACATGTAAGTTATGCAAATATTCAAAGTCTATGAACAATGACTGAAGGTGCAGGGCCAAACAATATCATAGAAATGAGATGTGCCAATGCTAATACAACTGCATACCAAATATCTTTATTCTACCACTAGTGGTTCCCCATAAACTGACCTAATCACAAACTAATACATGTAAACTAAGCAAAAGTTTCAGTCAGTAGACCATGAGTGACGGAGTGTGGTCAAATAATCTCCATTGCAATGAGCTGTGCCCATTATTACAACTGCATACCAAATATCATTGACCTACCACTAGTGGTTCCCCACAAAATTGACCTAATCACAAACTAGTACATTGATCACACCGCCACAGACACCGGAAACAGCATACCTATGTCTCGCGTTTTGACTTCGTTAAGACGAGGCAGTAAATTGTATTGAAACACCTGATTTTAAGATAATTTATTTTTCTCCACTTCATATATTGATATTCCTTCACCAGACAGTCCAATTGTTAATCTGAAAGTATAAATTTAAATATTAAATATATGCCGAGATTTTTTTAACCTATATTTAGTATATTGTCTATGCAGTGTATAATAAAGTAAATTTGGTTCAGGGAAAGATAAGTAGTGCATTCTATATTGAAAACCTTATTTAGTAATTGACTTGACAAAACAATCAGCAAGTTTTGACAGAATACACCTATTTTAAGTTTTACATTCAACTAGCACATCCAACTCATCATAACATAAACTCATTTAACAGAACATATGACAAAAACAAATAAAGTTGACATGCCTAGGAAGAATTTTTTTTACATATATTCTGTAAATTCAGAAAATATCGCGGGTTTGTGTAAATGTGACTGGGTGAGTATTGCAATGATCATAGCTCACATTCGATATATGATACATATAACTTTGGCCGATATTCCTGAAATCACAATAATTAATCTTGCATTTTTGTCCATTCTTAAAAAGTCACAAAAGTAAATTCAGGCAATCATGTCTGAATTAACAGTATGTAATAAAGTGTGCTTTTTAAACTGAACTTTATTCAATCATTGCTCATTTCTACTGATTTTTGATCTGATAAAAAGTAATAACCTTTCTGTATATTTATATTTTGACTAACCTGTTTTCATTCTGCCATAACTCCATATGTGATATATCAGGTACACTGACGAATCTACACCATACTATTAATATCTGAAATAATAATAGCATGGAGCTGCATGTGAGATAATTTATAATAAAATAAATTAGAAATAGATAGCTACAGACCTCCATGAAGCAAAGTCAGTAGTTTAACTATAAAGATCATAATTGTACCATGAGGGACAACTGCAATTGTGGCTGCACTGATCTGTTCAGATAAGTGTTCAATGGGTTTACTAACATACCAAACAACAAGACAAGTACAGTCAAACCTGCTATAAAGGTCACCTCCTTAATGAAAAACCTTACTAAAATACCAAACAACATGACAATTACAGTCAAACCTGCTATAAAGGTCACCTTCTTAAGGAAAAACCTTACTAAAATACCAAACAACAAGACAAGTACAGTCAAACCTGCTATAAAGGTCGCCTCCTTAAGGAAAAACCTTACTAAAATACCAAACAACAAGACAAGAATAATCAAACTTGCTATAAAGGTCACCTCCTTAGGGAAAAACCTTACTAAAATACCAAACAACAAGACAAGTACAGTCAAACCTGCTATAAAGGTCACCTCCTTAAGGAAAAACATATCTTGTCAGGTCACCCTATTCTAATCCACTTGTAGTAATATGATGTGTTCAACAAAACAAAAATTTCATGTAGGCTTGTATGCAACATTTTTCAAAAAACAAGAATTAGTATTTATTTTGTTCTTTTGTTGGATAAGACTTTTTTACTGGGCATATTCAAAAACTGCTAGCAACTACCACATTATATGATGTTTGCAACAATCCAATGTAATGCCTAAATAATGTGCATGCATAGCTCACTGTCAAAATTCAACATGGAACATTCAAAACTGGCACATTTCTTATACATTTAAAGTTTTCCTTGAAATGCAACAAGTGTCATCTAAATAGTACATTAATTACCATAATTCTGTTTGTTGATGCTTCATTTATATTTATATTTGTACTTTTTTTGTTTTTATTTTAGATAAGACATTGTAAGAGCACTATAAATTCTTACTTTAGGTCCAGAATCTTGTAAACAAACATCCCATAAACACAATCTTTGGTCCACTGATGCTGTTAGAACCTTATTCTCATTAACTATCTGTACACCTGTAAAAAATAATACAGTTATATGTTTTTACTAAAGTGATCATTTTATGGATTCAAAGTTACATTGGATACAGAAATATCATTTGTATGTGTATTTGAATTTGTAGTATGTGAAATAAAACATTAATTGAAGATAAACTATTCATTTCTCTTGGCATTAAATTGAATTTTCCATTCACACTACCAATTGCTAAAATGTTTTACCAAACTGCAGTTTGAATTAATCTCTACAAATTGATCATGTGGCACCCAAAATAATAATCTTTACCTGTAATTTGAGCTGCATGAGCAGATATCTGTTGATATTTTCCTTCAAGTGTTATATTGTTATTTTCTTGTATTGATATCACAGATAATACCAAGGCATTGTCATCTCCTCCACTAGCTATCAGCAATCTACCATCTGTAATTATATCAAATATATCAATCTACCATCTGTAATTATATCAAATACATCAATCTACCATCTGTAATGATAACAAATATATCAATCAACCATCAGTTATGATAACAAAAATATCAATCTACCATCAGTTATGATAACAAATATATCAATCTTCCATCAGTAATGATATAAAATATATCAATCTACCATCAGTAATGATATCAAATATATCAATCTGCCACCTGTAATTATATCAAATATATCAATCTACCATCAGTAATGATATAAAATATATCAATCTACCATCTGTAATATATCAAATACATCAATCTTCCATCAGTAATGATATAAAATATATCAATCTACCATCTGTAATTATATCAAATACATCAATCTTCCGTCAGTAATGATTTAAATATATCAATCAACCATCTGTAATTATATCAAATACATCAATCTTCCGTCAGTAATGATTTAAATATATCAATCTACCATCTGTAATTATATCAAATACATCAATCTTCCATCAGTAATGATATAAAATATATCAATCTACCATCTGTAATTATATCAAATACATCAATCTTCCGTCAGTAATGATTTAAATATATCAATCTACCATCTGTAATTATATCAAATACATCAATCTTCCGTCAGTAATGATTTAAATATATCAATCTACCATCTGTAATTATATCAAATACATCAATCTTCCATCAGTAATGATATAAAATATATCAATCTACCATCTGTAATTATATCAAATACATCAATCTTCCGTCAGTAATGATTTAAATATATCAATCTACCATCTGTAATTATATCAAATACATCAATCTTCCATCAGTAATGATATAAAATATATCAATCTACCATCTATAATTATATAAAATATATCAATCTTCTATCAGTAATGATATAAAATATATCAATCTACCATCTGTAACTATATCAAATATATCAATCTACATTATGTAATGATATCAGATATATCAATTTATATATCTGTTTTTATATCAAAATACAAATCTATAGAAAGAGTATGCTTTAATGAAACTTGTATTACTAATCAAATAAAAAGAAATAAAAAAATGTTGGTAAATTCCTTGAAAATTCTAAAGAAAGTCAATTTTCAAATTACCAAAATAATATTTTAATAAACATGATAAAGAAGATCTTGATATTCCAAAACTTAACCATATTCATAATGAGAAACTAAATCCAACTGTAACACTCTATAACTCACCATTTAACTGTAAAGAACTCAATCCATTAACTCCAGACTGAAGACTTGGTATCACAAATACTGGTTCACAAGACTTTTCTTCTACACAATTGTCACTGTTGCTATTAACTAAGTCTTTATTAAAACATTTCTCTCCTTCAGGGCCATTACTGGATATTACTTTATTCTCACTATTAGTACATGTATCTGCTTCACCTACATTAGTAATGCTTGTGTAGTTTGAATCCGAATTAGATGTGTCTTTGAAATTTGATAAATGTGTACTGTTAAATTGATTATTTTCTACATTCTCTACTACCTCTATTGTATTTGATGTTATAAATGACAACAGCAACTTAGAAATATCCCACAATGCAATTCTTCCATCAGTTCCTGCTGACAAGAATAAAAGTCGTCTGCTGCCTTTTGTTGTGGATACAAATGTATGAGTTATCCTGAGTACACAATGGTCATGAAAAGCAGAGTAATATAACGGTATCAAATTCTTCAATGTCTCACTGAATATGAAAAACCTGATAAAAATGAAGTAAAAAATACAATTACATCTGACATAAAATAAAACTTATACCTTTACTTAAATTAACTGGAGATATAGAGTAGACATTAATGAACAGCAATCCAACGACACAAAAATTAAAGATCAACATACTGTCTTTAATCAATAGACAAATGTCTAAACAATATGTCCGACTCTTCACCTTTTCACATTATTTGTATGAAGCGTTAATTAATCAAATGAATGTAATTTACAATTTTTTCTGTTAATCATTAATCTCAATAGACATTTTCATATTACCGACTTTTGACTATGGATTATATAATTTGTCGACTGGTTACCTACTCTGTGGTATGACATCCTGGTACTTGGTCAAGTAAGAAAGATTATTTAAATCATATATCTTAGGGTAAATTGTTTCTCCCTTTGTTAAATTTTATGAATTTATATCTCCTGTGAGCAATATTGTATTGAAAAATCATAATAAACTTAATATGCAAATGAGGTCTCATGAAAAGCAACATAACTTATACTTAACTTAAGTATGAGACATACAAATAACATATAATTTTAATGGCACTATAAATTTTTTCCCTGAATTTATCATTGTGATTGTTGCCATTGGACAAAAATGAGAAATTACACATTATTATTGTGATTTCAGGACATGCTGCATACAAGTAATGTTGCCAAATTTGAAATTCAAAATGTGAGTTTTAAATTTTGTAAAACCTATCCTGTTTCAATTTTTGCAATGATAAAACAAAATTCCCGATTAAAAGTAGATTTTACCTGATATTGCCATCAGAACATGCAGCTCCTACAACATAGAGATGACCAGGAGCATCTGATACAATATCCTTTAAGGACAGTACACTCAAGTCCATAATTCTTGTCTCTGGATTGGAACGGAAAGATTTGGCTTTTTTCTGTTTTCTTGTTAACCATTCCTCATTCAGATGACATGACTTTAAAGTTTGAAATGAGGTTTTAATATCACTAATGTCAGCCTCTTTCTGGATTAAAATCCTTGAAATTACAAGTTGTGCCCTAGCACCTCCAGTAAAAACAAGATAGCCTCCATGAATATTTGATACACAACTTGCCATACACTTAACATTTGAAATATGATCTCTAAGAGTATGCAGACATGAAAGCTTTAAAATTCCCTTTTCATTATCTACATCACAATTAAGGAAAAAATCTACTACAAACTTGTTTGATAATATTTTCATCTATTTTAAATTTTAACTTACATATTCAGCACTGATCATATTAGCCATTTGATAAATATTTAAATAATTTATACAGGCACAAAGAGCAATCATGTATCATTAAACCATGTTACTGTTATTAGATTTCAGTCCCCACCCTCAACTACTTGTTAAATCTTTTAATGAATTTTTACCCTGTTGACATTTAATTTAAGCAAATATTTATAAATGTAGAGAAAGCAATGTCTCATAAAAACCTAGGAAGGATACAAGTCAAACTACAGATAAGAACTGTAGTATCTTCACTGCTTGTTATAATAATATCACATGGTTTACAGTCTACAAATAAAAAAATAAAATCAATTCATTGATATTAAAAATAATACATGTAACTTTAAACATGCCATGAATAGTTATGCACATACATAAATATAACAGGTTTTTGATTCTAACATATACTCTAATTTTAGTCCTTTCTGAGTTAATCTAACATCTATTACTGTGGATTCATTATAATTCGTTGGATACCAATTTTCGTGGTTTTCGTGGGTACAGGTGAACCACGAATTCAAATGTTCAACGAATAACTAAATTTCTCTGGGATTTGTGTGCAGAGATAGACAAAACCATGAATTCAAATATCCACGAAAATGCAAGTTTTCCTCAATCCACGAAAATTGGTACCCACGAAAATAAATGAATCCACAGTACATACATTGTGTTTTAAAATGATCAACATCCTGACTTGACTCAATTATAATTCTTTCTTAAATTCTGCTTACCAAATTCAGTTGAATATAGATGTCTTATACAAGTTGTTTCCCTTCCATGTAAACTTTCCTAGAAAAAAGTAAAAGATATTGATCTATTAAATAAATATTTTGACCCAAATTATAAGTGCTACAATTATTTCAAAATCATACAAGTTTTGTCCAAAATGATTCCAACAAACTAAGATCAATACTGATACTTAAGTTTAAACAGTTTTATCAAATGACATTCCATTTCTAGCTGGTACATATCCACTTAAAGGTCACATTTTAATAAAAGGATATTCTTGTGAAGTAATTACTACAATTGTCCAAATGTCTATCCAAGGGATTTTTTTTGTTTTGCTGGAATTACTGTTTCCAGTCCATCCTATATATTTTTTACTGCAATTGGACCACTTTAAAGTCATGCTTATACATTCTTTTAAATGCATAAAGGATACTGACTTAAAAGTTAATATTAATATTCTTCCAACGTGATTATCCCATGGCAACATCACAGTCATAACCTTGAAAGCGCTACTGTGATTTTTTTAATTTTTATGGGTACCAATTTTCATTGATTAAGAAAAAATTACATTTTTGTGGATAATTGATTTTGTGATTTTACAAAAGTCTGTACTTCTTTGAACATTTAAATTTGTGGTTCACCTGCACTAAAAGAATTAACGAAAATTGGTATCCCACGTATTGAATCCATGGTATGTGAAAATTAAGAAAATTCTCATCTGACTTCTTTTATGTCTTGAATCTATAGATACTTATATATATAATCTGAACAGAGTATTTTTTTGTCTTGAACCTACAGATACTTATACATATATAATCTGAACAGAATCTTACCAACCTTCAAAATTAATTGGTTTGTGTGGAGATCTGTCTTGCACAGAACTACTTCCCTCACTTTCAAATATACAAAAGAGATTTTGTCGTGAATGATCTGACAATCCCATGTCCTATGTCCACCACCGCATGGAATCTTGACCAGTTTCTGGTTGTTGTTAACACTGAACAATATAAAACTGTCCTGAAGTAGACAAATTTAGCTAAATATGAATAAAAGAAGATTTGGGCTTTCATCAATGAGTCAGCAACCTAACAACACAAAAAACATAAAAAAACAAGCATGAAGAAAAAAAAGTGCGGAAATCTGATTATTTGAGTGAATTTTCTAAGTCCAAGGACCATAACTCTGCACAAAATTATCAGACAGGAACAAAATTCGAACTTGATCTGTAACTTGTCATGATAAAACAATATACCAAATATCAAATCAATATCTTCCACGAAGAAAAAAAGTGTGGAAAACTGATTTGCCGGACTGACGGATGGACAGACAGACAGACGGAGTGCACATCTAAAGTCCCCTTCGACTTCGTCGGTAGGGGACTAAAAATCATTGAGTTTGACCTGAAAGAATTATGTCCACATCCCCTTTACAGACAAACATTTATGTTAACCATTTCAATTAAAGAAATAGGAAATAGGAAATCCCTTTATCATCTTAAATAACCAGCTGACAATTTCTAGGAAAATTATAAATTATTAAATAGACATTGTTTTTCTACTTACAGACTGAAAGCCATAGATATAAATATCTCCATCAGGTCGTAGTTCAAGTTTATCTAACCAATCAAATCCTTTAAATACCTATACAAACAAATACAAGAAGCATCATAAATATTAATCACACTAGATGTTAAAATGCCCGGTTTTCCTGGGGATTATTATGATAGTGCTTTCTACACTAACACATGGCTCAGTGGGAAACAATATTTCTTTTTTTTATATATATATATTATCCTCTTATGTAGAACAATAAAAAATCAATAATCAATAATTTTTTTTAAAGAGTTTGGATTTAAATTTAAATCAATAATTTTGAAGACAATGATTTTTATTCTAAATCAATTTTTTTTTTATTATTTTTAAGAAAAGTTTGAAATCAATAATTCAAACGACAATAATTTTAATTTCTAACCTATAATCTAAACTACAATAATAACAAAGTTCTCAGTATGATAAATTAAAAAAGAAAAACAGGTTTATGATGGTGATTAAGCAAATTGGTACCCTTGTAAAAATATTGTGAACCTTGCCTTCTCGTCCCTAGACATTTTTTTCCTGGGTAACAATCTGCTCTATCAACCTCTCAGCTATGTGCTATTCATATAAAATATGTGCCGAAGACCTTTGAAATCTTTTAAGTGCTTGTGTCTGAATTCCATGGACAAATATTTTAGTGTTTGATAACAGTTATTATTGCTTAAAAAAAGGGTTAAACTTTTTTCACTAAAACAACTTTCTCCCATTTTCCAAATTTTAGTCTTAAAATTGATAATTATATAAGCAGTTGTTTAGTATGCTGACTTTTATGCATATGTTTTTCATTACATACTTTTGTTGTTTTTTTCATGCTTTATACAATTCAAAAATAAAAAATAATGGTTTAATTAGGCAAATTCCAACTCCATACCCTATTGCTGTTGAGCAGCATTAGCTGTCCATTATCTATTGTGAACTGCCTGTAATGGCCATCACGTCCTGCAGTGTAAATAGTGTTATCTGCTGAACAAATATCTGTTACCCCTGTTTTTCCATGTATCTTCCAAAAGCTCTGTACTGGATCCAAATACTGTAAAAGTACCTTCAAAATTAGTCAGTTTGCATTGGTATATCAAAGAATAATAGCTAATAATTAGCCATATATATAATCCCCTTTTCACATATGAGTAAAATGGCAAGGGTAAATCTATTTGATGAGAGAATCTATACTTAAGTTTATCCTAGGGAAAACAAATTAAGTCCTTCAAGCGTCGTTACATTTGACTATGTTTTTAAGTTATTGTAATAAATCTTAGATCAGTGAATTTACTAGTCATCATTGTTAGAATAACTACTTTACTCAGCTGAGAAAATAAAGAAAGCAGAATTGGTTCAATTATTTCTCAGAATGCAATTTTTTTCTAAAAGATAGGATTAAAATAATAAAATTCAAACCTATATTTCATACAGAAAATTGTATTTTTCTTCATATGTTTTAAATAACCTTTCATTGATATTTAAATAGTATTGTACTACCTGATTAATTGGTTCTCCCCATCTGTAAACATGGACTGTTCCAGCTCTATCTCCACAGATTAGACTCTTTCTATCAGTGCTTAGTGTTACAGCAGACACCCATCTTTGTTTACAATATGGCAATGTAAATGTCTGTATCAAAGTCATCATAGCAACACCATTTTCTACTGATGACAATTCATAACAATGCTGAAATGATAAAAAGGTATTGTTTATATAAAATTGAGAATAGAAATGGGGAATGTGTCAAAGAGACAACAACCCAACAAAAGAGCAGAAAACAGCCAAAGGACACCAATGGGTCTTCAATACAGCGAGAAAATCCCGCACCCGGAGGCGGGCTTCAGCTGGTCCCTAAACAAAAATGTGTACTAATTCAATAATGAAAATGGACGTCACACCAAACTCCAAAACATATAAATGAACTAATATTAAAAAACATACAAGACTAACAAAGGCCGGGTTAAACATGTTTTGTGAGATCTCAACCCTCCCCCTAAACCTCTAGCCAATGTAGAACAAACAAACACACAGCAATACACAAAGTTAAAGTTTGCCTTTCTTCTCAGTAAATTATAGAAAGTCTTGTAAAATACTGTTCAAAGACTACTTTACTTTGTCTTGAAACTGTAAAGAATGAAAATACATTGTCATGAAGATGAATAAAAATCTTTAGTAACCAGTGGTTTTCAAGAATATATAGTGTCTTTAGAATGAATTGTATAGTATAAATGATTATACAAACTTCTGACATTAGTCCATAATACAATTCCTAATAGGCTTAATCTCACTGAAATAAATTATGAGTGCACACGCTGAAATGTCTCGCCTGCTTTACCTATCATGATGGAATATATATTGAAGGTCTGAAATATGAAGGTTTTACTACAAGTATCATATACACTAAACATTATCAATGATCCATGAAAATGAGGTCAATGTCAGATGAACCATCCCAGACAGATATGTAAACCTTACAATCATTCTATACACCAAATATAGTTGACCAATTGATTATAATATCTGATTATTTGCCCAAACCACAAAAGCTTATCAGTGACCAATGAACCATGAAAATGAGGTCAAGGTCATATAAACCCTGCCAGACAGACATGTACACCTTACAATCGTTTCATACGCCAAATATAATGGACCTATTGCTTATAGTATCTGATAAACTGACAAAACCATAAAAACTGAACAATGACAAATGAAACATGAAAATGAGGTCAAGGTCATATGAACATGTAGAACTGTTCACATACTTCAAAAATCAATAGATTGTTGTAATTAATTACTGGATACCTCTAATCCAATTACCATGTCCAAGGCAATTAAGCATACTAATTAGTATTTAATGGTGTAAACAGTGCCTCAAGGAATTCTATATACAAAGTAGCCACAACATACTTATCATATCAACATACTTACAATACGTCCCTCTGGTCCAGTGGTTAACAAAGAATCTTCTGACAGGCAGTGGATAGAGAGTACTTTCCCTTTGTAGATATCATAATCATTCCAAGTAAACTTCTTGTCTGTCAGATTCTCTGAAAATTACAATATTGTTAAGATGAAAACTTTATAATAAAAAATTACAACATTGTACAGATGAAAACTTTACTTTGATGTATGTTATAATAAAAACTAAACCAGTTTGTTTACTCAAAAACAAAAATCTGAAATTGACACTTGCAGAATAAATAAGGCAGAGTTTTGGTCTATATAATGAATACTGAGATTTGATTGGAAAAATTACATCTTTATTGTGTCAGTTTCAATTGCTATGCATGATCAAACTTCATAACAGAATTTATAAGCAAGCTTCCTAAACTTGTGTTGTCAATGGTGTTGTAGAAAAGCTCTAAACAGTATGTCAGTCTGATCATGTTCATTACCAAACACTTGTAATCAGTAAGATAGGGAAAAATTTGCAGTAAGCCACAAAAAACATGTCAATAAGATGTTCTGTAGTTTTATGTCCATCAAAAGTAAATAATTTGACTGAATGATTTGATGGATCATGAAAGAATTTCCAAACAACCCAATTAACTTCATCATTCTAATTCTAATGCAAAAATTAAAAAATATGTTTAAAGCCATATCAGACTTCAAGTTATCTACTATTGATTTTGTTTTCTTTGGGAAAACATTGTATTTTTCCTTATGAGTGCAAACAGACCTCTATATGTAGTAAAATATTTTTTTGTACTCATTTGATGACATCGTTGTTCATTTAGTTTCTATATACTGTAGCATCTATTTTCGTGGGTACATTTTTGGGGTTGAAGATAATTAGTATTTTCCTGGATTTTTTATGTTCCCCAGAAAAATTTTAACATTGTTAGTGTTCTTGCTGTATATGAAATTTACCTGAATAAACAAGACGTAGAGTTCCTTTGATGTTCCCTAAAGCTATCACATGGGAAACTGCTATAACGGTATAAGATTTAAAGTTAGTATCTTTAAATATCACTGAGGTTTTATTATCTATTAAGCTGTGGATTAATAATGACCTGCAAAATAAAACATTACATTTTAATATGAATAAAGGCACACAAATTATTTTTAGGCTGTCATTTTACCTTTTGAAAAGAACATGGTGACTTCAAGACTTTTTTTAGCAACAAAAAAATAATCATTAATTAAAAAGCCAATGATCATTAAATATAGTCGTGAAATCTATTATAAATATAAATACAACTTTTTTCAATATGATAGTCTTTGTTCTTGCCCCATGGTTGTCTAAATGATTGTATTGTTTTTGCATGCCTCAGTGTGATTGTTGCCCTAAATTATTACAGTAAATGTTTGATTTCTTTGCCAGCTTCCTTCTATTGTTATTGCTCCATGGCTTTGTTCTTCAATTCACAGTTGTGGCGTGATCATCAGTTTGCAAAGAGTTCCTCTCAAACCAGTGCCAGCGGCAGTCTTAACCTTGCAGTGAAGTGAGAGTTTTTGTCCTGTGTTGAAGGCCTCATTGTGACTTTGAGATGAAGAAAAGCAATAAAAGCACTGTTCCTTTGTTTTTTTTTAGTGTTTTGCTGTGCATGTACTGATTTTGTATCATGGATGGATACCCCATAAACTTTGTTTTCTATTTTGTAAAATACTAAGTACAGAAACATGCATTAACCAATACTTATTTAAAGATTTATGTCACCTGAACATTATACCTTAGAAATAACTTTTTTGGCTGATGTGTCCTTAATATTTGAACAGTTTATAAATTCATAAATGGACATCATGTTGATATATTCTAATTGCTATGGGAGCATGCTATTTGTCCATTTCATTTTTAAAAAAAAAAACATATTTTCACCTTATTTCATAAATATGTGTCAGACTTCACTATTAGTTTTTTAACAGAGGCTTATTTCATAGGCAAACAAATCCTTGAATTTTGCTGAACAGGCAATGATATTTAAATTTCATATCATTGATTATGAGACTAAAAGAGACTAAAACTGATCCCCCTGAGCCTGACAAGGTACATTTCCTTATCTATTCATTTTCAAACACATTAAACAGTTACTGTGATGTTGAAATTCTTAATGCTTTGAACTAACTTTTAGGTTTTTATGTTTTTCCAACCATTCTTAACATTCCTTTAGAAAATCTATTTAGAAGTATGACAGCTGATATTAGTGTGTAAGATAGCATAATTATGTACTATGAAAGATGTTGACATACACAAATTTTCAGTATATTTTTATTTACATATTGCCAGACTATGATCACATGTTTTTAATTACCCTTCATCTGTAATTCCTAAAACATAGTTTGATTTCCAAAGGGACACAACTCTCACAAAATCCTGTAAAATAAAAGTAAGAATTAGTAAGTTTTAGTTATTTGTAAACGATTCACTGTGTACCAACAAACAATAAATAAAATTAGCACTTATCTATCAACATAAATATTACAATTAATTAATTTATTGTGTAATTAAGAATATTCGTATTGATTCTGTATTCCGTACAAGATTCACCGACTGTGATTTGCATTTAACTTCCAGATTAACACTTCCTGTTGTTCTCAATCAAACAAATCTGTGGAAACAATAAAGAATTAAACACTGTTTGCTAAATTATTTATTCTGCAACAATGTTTTCATTATCCTGTAATCAACCAGGACTGGAGTTTAATTTGTCTCCAAAAAAGAAATCACTTTTCAATGGACGCATTTTACCAAGTTTCAAGTTGGGATTTTTTTCTAGAAAGTCCGTGTGTGTTAAGCAAAAGAAGAAACTTTTTTTAAAAGTTTGAAGGGTAAACTAGAGGCTCTCAAGAGCCTGTGTCGCTCACCTGTATTTACTGATGCTTTAGAAATCATGTAAAATAAGGTTAAAATCATAATTAATAGTATTGGATATTAGATATTATAATGATATCTAAGATAATAACAAAAAACTGCAAAATTTTTGTAAAATTACTAACTCAGGGGCAGCAACCCAACAACGGGTCGTCAGATTTGTCTGAAAATTTCAGGGCAGATAAATCTAAATCTGATGAACATTTTTGCCACCTTTCAGATTTGCTCTAAATGCTTTAGTTTCAGAGATATAAACCAAAAACTGCATTTTACCCCTATGTTCTATTTTTAGCCATGGCGGCCATCTTGGTTGGTTGGCGGGGTCATCGGACATATTTTTTAAACTAGATACCCTAATAATGATTATGGCCAAGTATGGTTAAATTTGTAGCAGTAGTTACAGAGAAGAAGATTTTTGTAAAAGATTACAAAAATTTACGAAAAATTGTTAAAAATTGATTATTAAGGGCAATAACTCCTAAAGGGGTCGACTGACAATTTTGGTCATGACAACTTATTTGTAGATCTTACTTTGATGAACATTATTGCTGTTTACAGTTTATCTCTATCTATAATAATATTCAAGATAATAACCAATAAAATGCTTCGCTAGGCGCAGCTTGATACGACCGCAGAGGTCGAACCCTGAACAGTTGGGGCAAGTATGGACACAACATTCAAGCTTGATACAGCTCTGAATTTGGATTGTGATTAAATATTTGACACAGCATAGGTTTCTGACACAGAAAGAATGTGGTCTAAGAACTTCAATTTTTTTAATTTACCTATTATGGTCCAATGTCCAAAATCAAAATACATGGTTAGATTCGGCATATCAAAGAACCCCATATATTCAATTTTTGTTTAAATCAAACTAAGTTTAATTTTGGACCCTTTGGACCTTAATGTAGACCAATTAAAAAAAAACGGGACCCAAAATTAAAAATCTAAAAACACGGTTAGATTTGGCATATCAAAGAACCCCAATAATTCAATTTTTGATGAAATCAAACAAAAGTTTAATTTTGGACCCTTTTGACCTCAATATGAACCAATTTGATAGCGGGCCCACAAATAAAAAATCTAAATACATGGTAAAATTCAGCATATCAAAGAACCCCATATATTCAATTTTTGTTGAAATCAAACAAAAAAGTTTAATTTTGGACCCCAACTTGGACCAACTTGAAAACTGGGCCCATAATCAAAAATCTAAACACATGTTTAGATTCAGCATATCAAAGAACCCCAAGAATTCAATTTTTGTTAAAATCAAACTAAGTTTAATTTTGGACCCTTTAGACCTTAATGTAGACCAATTTAAAAAACGGGACCCAAAATTTAAAATCTAAATACACAGTTAGATTTGGCATATCAAAGAACCCCAATAATTCAATTTTTGATGAAATCAAACTAAGTTTAATTTTTGACCCTTTTGACCTCAATATGAACCAATTTAATAGCGGGGTCCACAAATAAAAAATCTAAATACATGGTTAGATGCAGCATATCAAAGAACCCCATATATTCAATTTTTGTTGAAATCAAACAAAGTTTAATTTTGGACCCCAATTTGGACCAACTTGAAAACTGGGCCAAAAATCAAAAATCTATATACATGTTTAGATTCAGCATATCAAAGAACCCCATATATTCAATTTTTGTTAAAATCAAACAAAGTTTAATTTTGGACCCTTTGGACCTTAATGTAGACCAATTTGAAAACTGGACCCAAAATTAAAAATCTAAATACACGGTTAGATTCGGCATAACAAATAAATAAATGTGGTCAAAGATTTAACAAATCTAATGCGCCATACTGGTCTTCCTTTATAAATATGCATTTCTTTAAACATAATTTAAAAGCAGTGTAAGGGAAGTAACCAAAACGTTGTATTTGGATTACCTCCCTTACACTGTTTTAAATTATCTTAATTGTTCATTTACCATTACTTTATACATAATTTAAAAGCAGTGTAAGGGAGATAATTTCAATGATGTATTTGATTTATCTCCCTTACACTGCTTTAAATTATGTTTTGTACTAAAGTATTTGTCCATTAATGAGGACAACCTTGTTTTTCCCCCTTTTTTGCCCCTAATTCTTAAACGGTTTGAGCAATAACCCCCCAAAGCAAATCCTAACCATCCCTTTGTGGAATGGAAACTTGTAGTATAATTTCAGAGAGATCCATACACCGTTCCACAGTTATTGTCTGGAATCTAGAAAATGCTTATTTTTGGCCCCTTTTTGGCCCCTAATTCCTTAACTGTTGGTACCATAACCCCCAAAATCAATCCCCACCTTCCTTTTATGGTATTGAACCTTATGGTAAAATTTCATAGAGATCCATTCACTTAAACTAAAGTTAGAGTGCGAAAACTAATGCGTCTTCGGACGACGATGCTGGACGACGACGACGACGCCGGACGACGATGACGCCAACGTCATACCAATATACGACCACAAAAATTTTTTTGCGGTCGTATAAAAACTGCAAAATTTCCTTAAAATTACCAATTCAGGGGCAGCAACCCAACAACAGGTTGTCAGATTTGTCTGAAAATTTCAGGGCAGATAGATCTTGACCTGATAATCAGTTTTACTCTATGTCAGATTTCCTCTAAATGCTTTGGTTTCAGAGATATAAGCCAAAATCTACATTTTACCCCTATGTTCTATTTTTAGCCATGGCGGCCATCTTGGTTGGTTGGCGGGGTCATCGGACACATTTTTCAAACTAGATACCCTAATGATGATTGTGGCCAAGTTTGGTTAAATTTGGCCCAGTGGTTTCAGAGGAGAAGATTTTTGTAAAAAGCTAACGACGACAACGACGGACGACGGACGCCGGACACCAAGTGATGAGAAAAGCTCACTTGACCCTTCGGGTCAGGTGAGCTAAAAAGGGGGTGTGTACTATGCATGAGTGTGTTTTATACACCCCAAAAGACAATAATCAATTTGAATGCACTCAATTTTGTGTTCTTCAATTTGAACTTGTGTTTGATTGTTTGATTAAAGTTTAAATTTTTACATAAACAATGACTGAGGTTCTTAGATCGCTATTGAAGGTCTTCAGGTGAACCATGAATAAATTGATACTCATTTTCTAGTCCATTGGCCTTTAGCAGCTAGTTGTCTCATTGGCAATCATATCATATTTCCTTATAAAATGTATAGGTAATGCTGAAATCACATAATTAACAGCCCCTGGTGATGATTCATAGCCTGACCTGATTGGGTCCTTCATGGACTATGTTCAGAGGCAGAATGATGGATTGATAGTGGTGCTATATTTATATACTGTCTGAAAGTTATTCATTATCTGTTATCTGTTGTCAGATAATCTTTATCTGTTCAGTTATATATCAGGTGGAATTTTTAAGTTCATTCAACATATTGAAAAATTAAAAATATCCGCAAACAGGAAGTAGGTGATGGACAGATCTGAAAAGTGGCCATACTTTACAACTCTTCCACTGTCAAGCTGCTGACCAAATAAGTAGTCACTCTGTTTAATACTACCTGAGAAAAGTGTGATAGAAATATTTGTTTGATGAAAGAACAGAAGAATAATGTGAATGCAATAAACTCTTAAAGTGAGAGTATAATAAAGCTTTCAACAAATTTTCTTTACATTTTAGTCATACACAAGTTCCTGGGACTCATCACCAAATTTGTGCAGTCGAACCTCATTGTGTAAAAATTAATTTTGGAAGGAAGAGAAAACAATTTCAGTCCAAAAACTGATTGAAATCGAATGTTTTTTGATGCACATCAATAAATTCTTCGTCAATCTTCTAGGTCAATTAGCGATAAATTCTAGGTCAATCAGTTTGTCAGTATAACAATCAGAATGGCATGTCAAACTGACTTTGACCATGCAGAAAATCATGTTGATGGAACACATTTTGCCAGAGATAATTACAGAATGAATTAATAATCAACAAGTATAACTTTTGGAATAGTTTTTTTTTAATCTTGTATTTACATATATTAGCTATAGAGGCTCAAGTCCGGTACTTACATTTTGATCAGGGAATGGTAGACTTTGACTATGTAACATATTCACTGACTGGTTTTCTGCAACATTAAGTTTCCACAATCTGATACTGGTATCACCACCACCAGTGACCTACAGAAAAGAAAAATGATCAATCCATTCTTCACAAGGCCTTCATTTTTCCTACAACTGCATGTAAAGATCATATTTCTATTAATGAGTTACAATTTTTGATAGCCGAGATACATAAGATATTCAATTTTGTAAAGAAAATTAAAAGATTGTTATGGAAAAATGAGTATTTTAAACTCCATATAGCTTATTCAGAAATGAAAGAAAACAGATACTATTACAAATATACTGGTCATGTTCATTTCAAAAAGAATATTGTCCATCAATTAAAACATTTAACATCATTTCTCCGTCTTTTATCACCCATTGGTATGTATCTAAAAACAACATACATTTACATTACATTTTTAATACTTACAAAAAACTGTTCTTTTTTATCTGCAGACAAACTCCATATACTTTTTCCCTGCAATAAAATATTATGAACTCATCAGATCATATAATTTTTAACCCAGTGGCGAAAGTACTATCAAAAGTTAGACAGGTAAAACAAATGTTAACTGAGGCAACATTGAATCTGTACAGCAAATTGTTTATCGTCTTATTGTGTTTTCAAGATATGACAGGTTAAACAAAGTTCAATATAAAAATCAGGAGATGAGACAACTTTCCACCCAAGTTCAAATGATGCGGATGTAAGCAATTATAGGCCTCCGTATATTTCTATTTGAAAGCAGATGTTATTGGACACAAGCGATATCTTTTACGATTCTTGCAAATAAAACAAGTATTAGATGTATTATAAATGAAATTGTGTAATTTTCTCATTAATCATTCAAATTTAAATACATGTATTAACAATGATTCAGTTATAAGTATTGAAACATTTGGCCTAAATATCAGCCAATGCATGGTCTGTAACAGAAAAAGAAAGGACAGCTACACGGCTCAATATCCAGTCATTACTGGTAATTCTTTAATGATAAACAACAGAGCAGGAAAGTTTTTTGTCTGTCTGATACTGAGTGAAAAATGAATGTTTTATTAACATTTTACATAAATTGTGCAAAACTGACACTTGTAATTCTCTTAGTATTCAGAAGCATCTTCAATTCACAAATGCTGTTTAAAGCTTCTAAGTATTGCAGCTTGGTTAGTATGTGCAGTTTTAATGAACATTACTATAGTGTATACATAAGGCAGATAATTGAAAAGGTCACTAAATGGTGGCATCTTTATGTAAGGTACAAATAGGATGATTCTGATCAAATTGCAAAGTCTATAATGTAATTTCCAATTAGTAAGAAACTAACTGACTGTAAGGTGCCAGCTTTTTTCTACATTTATAAAATTGGGTTGTGCAGGGTGGTAATGGGTTTTTAGGAGATGGCTGGGTAACCAGAAAAACAGTGTACCAATGCTAACTCTCACAAATGAATTGCATCATGGTATCCACAAAAAGATGAAATCCTATCAAGGTTTACAAAATATGGTCCTGACATCACTCTTAGACTACATTGCACATTCTAAAATGTACTTATCCAATTGTCAGAAACTATTTACTGTAAGGTATCTTTTTTTAAAAGCAAATTTGATTGGTTGCTCAATGCAGGCATGGGTTTTAAGGAGATGACTAGGTAGCATGTACAACAATGTTACATTACTTACCACACAAAACTGTATATAAGGAAATAAACAAGATAGATTTACCAAGAACAAATACCTTATGACCTTTGAATTTTTGAATAACCTCTCCACTGTAGTTCCATACACAGCATGAACTGTCCTGAAAATCACATGTATTGGTTTTAACGTAATTATTTATTTTACTTTTAATATCATGTGCTTAGTGTTTATAAATATCTACTCTTTATTTAATATCTTTGAATATATATGATCTATATAAAAAAAAGAAGATTTTAAGTAGACTTTTAACAATTAACCAACTGTGTTGGTGCCTCCCTGGTGTATTCTGATTTCCAGAAGAGGTTACTTAGAAAATGTTCTACTGAGAAACAAGAAAAAAAATCTACTGGTCGATTAATCAGTTAGGTGGTGAATCTGTTTCGACTTTGGTAACAAAATGTGTGAGTCTTCTAAGTAAGACATGTGTCACCTGCAATCTTCAAATAATTCATTCTGCTGATAAGGACATGACAGTCAAAATTACAAAATACATCAATAATTCACAAATTATTGTGATGTTTTTATTATTGTGAAAAATGTGACAGGATACATTTCGCAAAATTAAAAACTTGCATTGTAAATTTACATTGAATTATTTGTATGCGGCATATTCTGATATAGCAATAATAATTCTCATATTATTGTCAATAGTTCAATAATTACAATAATAAATGCACCCACAATTTTTCTGAGTATACAGTACGAGGTACAAATCATACGACAAAATCAGGGAATCTATAAAATAATTAAGTAATTACCTCGCCAATACTGATCATAACGTTACTCAGTAAATTTATGTCCCAGACTCTAGCAGAATGTCCATATAATACATGTAGTGGAGAGCTCTGACACCTAGTCCAATCTTCTATGTCAAGGTCATCTATTGCCATAGTTACCTCCTTACCAGGAAATGTCAACTGCCATATTCTAATGCTCCTGTCATCAGAAACAGAACAAATTTGCTGTCTTTGTGTGTTGTATCGCACTGAGAAAATTACACCCTGAAATAATCCTGATAATGAAATTTTACATTTAAAAATTGAAAAGAATAAAAATCAATACTATATTTAGTTATAGTAAGGCACTTTGTCCAAGCATTTAGATTCTTAAAGGAGAGTTTGAGAGCTAAAAAGATATAAGAAGATGTGGTATGAGTGCCAATGAGACAACTCTCCATCCAAGAGTAAATAACTAATTAAATCCTGTTAAATGTTCATGTGCCTGTCCAAAGTCAGGCACTTAAGAACATTGTCAGTATTTGAATTTACTTGTAATTAAATATTCTTGTCATGCAGTTAATTTGCAGATTATAGCAGATTTGTGATTATCTATATTAAATTCATTCATAACTTTTTTAAACTCTGGGCAATTAAAACTTTACATCTTTTAATATCCCTTGTTCATTTTTAGAAGAGTACTGGTATATGTTGATTTCTAAATGTTTTTTTTTTTATTTTATTTTATTTTTTTTCTAGTAACTACCTTAAATTTTATAATCTTAACTTAATTAAGAAAAGAAAAAAAATATATAATAAAAGCCAATATCCAACATGTTATGTATATCATTTCACATTAATATACAATCTATATCCCTACAACCAGCAATATTTTTTCCCCATTATATACCTCTTTTACATAAAAAAAAATCTTGTTGTATCCCATCAATTAATGTATTTTTTTTACATTTGAAAGATTGAAAAAGCTATTTATTCAGCAGAAAAATTCTCCTGATCAGTTGCTCATCAGTAACAACATTTTTCATAAAAAAAAAAATATTTCCCAATATGCTTACTAGTGAACTTTGTAAGAAACATGTTTATTTGATATGTATTCATGTGTATATTATGCATTTTGTTTTCTCAATATTGTATTCTACGGTACAAAATCTGGTTAGAAATCTCTTTGATTTTGGAATTCTAAAATATTTACAAGATCAATGGAGATAAAGATATAATAACAGTAACACCTACCTGGTGACCTGAGAACCTGTGCATTACTGTGCACAGTCCAGAACTATTTCTTGTAGTATTAGGTGACCACAACAAAACTTGATTTGTTACTGTTCCTGCAGCTAAAATCAAATTCTCCCAACTTGATGTAATAAAACGTGCACAGTATCTGAAAATCTACTATTAAAGAAAACTTTTAAAATATCTTTGATAAGATAATTATGTGTATTAAATAGAATTCATTGAACTATTTTTTAATTAGGTAGGGTTTAACAAATATAGAATGAAGACTGAATGTAGTACAGTAAGTAATGATTGTCCTGACAATGTAATACATGTAATTCCTCATTTAACATATATATATATTTATATAAAAATAGGGAGATGTTGTATGATTGCCAATGAGACAACATATCTACTAGTTGACCAAAAAATGTGGATTTAAGCAACTATAGGTCACCATATGACCTTCAACCAATTAGCAAAACCCATATGACCACTTAAGGTAATTGATAATATATAAATACCAGAGCACACATTTAATCAATTTTTTTATGTGTCTTCAATTGTACAAAAGAATTTTATTTTGATAAAAAAGGATAATTCATTTATGACCGACCATTTGGCATACCTGAATAATCAGTTCACAGCAGTGAGTTACCATTTGCAGTCTTAAATTCTCAGCATTACCCATCAATGACTTCAACTGGTCAGTACTTGTACCCACAGTTTTATTTTTACTTTTATTTAAAGTGGTAGGATCCACTTGTAAATGCATCCATCCTCTTACGTTTATAACTGCAGTAAAAAGGTACTGTGAATTCATCAATATTAGTAGGGTACTAATTTTCATGGTTTCTGTGGACATAACATAAACCACAAAAGTGCTCATGGAAGTTCAAATTTTCCAAAGATTTGTATGGAGAATTTGAAAAAAAACACTAATCAATTATCCACTTAAATACAATTTATATCCTAAATCCATGAAAATCCATATCCATAAATATAAATGAATTCACAGTCAGTGTATTGATTGATTAACAACTTAAAGTAAGGATACAGAATACTGTTTTCTTCACACTGTACAATGTCCATAATCTGGTCATTATTGCTGTCCCATTTTACAATGGTGTTGTGTGCCAAAGCAAAAACAACCTGACCTTTGACCTGTGTAAATAGAACAAAATCAAGTTGAAAATACTGTACATTGAAAATTTTCAAACATTATATATATATACCTTTAAGACAAACAAATTCAAAAGCAAAATATGTGTAAGATTTTTTAAACAGTCACTTAGAATCTTCAAAAAAATTTCAATTGTGAGTTCCTCATGAATGCTATTTTGAAAAGTCATCACCAGTTAGCATTAAATTCATTACAGAAATATTAAAAAAATAAATGTGGATTGTGTCCACATGTGGACACAGATGCCCCCGCCTGCCATAACTGAAGAACGGTAAAAGTGATGTTTCCCAAATTTGAACTTGATCTGAGTTTTGTGGTAATAAGCATTGTGTGTAAGTCTCATAACATTTGGTTGAGGCTAACTTAAGCAGAGAACAGAAACGAAAAATTCAGCAATTTTTCTATTTGTAAACATGCGTAACTCTAGAACGGTTGTGTATAAGTTTTATAACATTTGGTTGAGACAAACTAAAGTTAGAGAACGGAAACGAAAAATTCAGCAAATTTTATTTTTATAAAGGGACATAACTCAAGAATGGTAAAAGTGACGCCACCGAATTTTGTACTTAATCTGTATTATGTAGTAATAAGTATTGTGTATAAGTTTCATAACATTTGGTTGAGGCAAACTAAAGTTAGAGAACGGAAACAATATTTGTACTTGATCTTAGTTTTGTGTTAATGAGTATTGTGTATAGGTTTCATAATGTTTGGTTAGGGCAAACTTAAGTTACAGAATGGAAACTAAAAATTTTGCAATTTTCAATTTATAAAGGGGCATAACTCAATAATGGTTAAACTGACACTACCCAAATTCAACTTGATCTGTGTTTTATCAGTGGAAGGCAAAATTAAACATAAGGAAGATAACTCCAATTTTAAAAATTACTTGAATAATGACATTGATATTTTTGGAAAAAAAATGAAAAATTTAGCAATTTTTCCATTTGTAAAGGGGTATAACTCTCGAACAGTAAAAGTGACGCCCCCAAAATTCAAAATTGATCTGTGTATTGTGGTAATAAGCATTGTGTATAAGTTTCATAACATTTGGATGCGGCAAACTTAAGTTAGAGAACGGAAATGAAAAATAGTGCAATTTTTCCATTTATAAAGGGCATAACTCTAGAACGGTTAAAGTGACGCCACCAAAATTCAAACTTGATCTGTGTTTTGTGGTAATAAACATTGTGTATAAGTTTGATAACATTTGGTCGAGGCAAACTTAAGTTAGAGAACGGAAACCAATTTTGGGACGTACGGACGGACGGACGTACATACAGACGGACAAGGGTAAAACTTAATGCCCCCTTTGCTTCGGCGGGGGGATAAAAAAATACAGGAAGTCATGACAAGTATCCCCAAATTGGCAATAAATTTCTATAACAAGAACATGTGTCCATAGATCGCCATTGTCCCACTCACATTATCACATTTCTATGTCCTGTAAACCATGAAATTTGGGGACAAAATGGTAATCTGGCACATAATTTAAACACTTCATATCATAATGAACATTAGTAATAATTTTTAAGTTGATGTGACGACAACTATATGGAAAAGTACCTTAACCAAAAAATTGAACCATAATTCTGATGTAAATTGATTAAACCAATTCACAAATATTTGGTCTCTGTAGACTTTAGAAGTGTATTTGCCTAACTGCCAAAGTTCTGTTTGTACAAAGAGTGCAGTCAAGTTTGATGAATAAACAAAAACTAAAAATAAATTGATGTGGGTTCATATATGTATTGTTTCCCTAAACATGCTGAAGGTAAAAAACAAATCACCTTGAGCAGGATTTTTTAGAAATTTTCCAATTTTGATAAAAAAAATTGCAATAATTTCTGAACTCACAGTACTGATAATGAAAATTAATTAAACTGTTCACCTGTTCCTTTTCAGACAATGGTACCAACAAACTGCACAATAAACTGTTGTACAGTTCAGGGTGTACTAACCTTTAAGAACTGTGCATCCCAGATTAAGTCCTGAAGTAGAGTCTTCCTATTTGGGAGTGACAATGTATCTGTATCCATGGTAACAATACAAGCTCTCTTCTCACCAAAAGCACACAACTGGCCATTGCTGTCTAAAATATTACAAATATGATATTCATTGAAATTTATATTGTTTAAGCATGAGGACCAGTCTTCAAATTAACCACTAGTCATTTTCTAAGTAAAACAAAATAGTTTTGACTTGTAAATAAAATCAGGGATGATAAAAGACCATTTTAGTCTCATTTTATTAAAATCCTTAAAATATATTGTCAAATACATTAGTATTTATTCAACATTTGCAAAAAATATGTAATTTTGCAATTCTGACATTTTTTGAAGGTAAAAGTATAAACATTAACATGCTGTACATCATTTTTAGTTAGTTTTTTCACAAACTTAAATGCACTCAAAGGATTGATCAAAAGATAGTATTGTCATCAATGCAAGATGTAAATATGAAGTTGTTGAATGGTTATTTGGTCAATATAAAGTTTTGGCACAAGTATTAAAATGACATTCAAAACACAGAAAAGGAAGAACAACTAAACATCATTAAAAATTAAGAAAATATAAAACAATTTTCAGTTATCATCCAAAATCCTTAGCATGGAGTTTTACTTCTTTAAATAAATGATTACATTATTTCAGTCTAGACATTGGATGTGTGGATGTGTGTGTTGGTCACAGGAACATACCTGACCTAATACCATGAATTCTTGTACAAGTTAATGCTGATAATCTTTGTAAGCATTTGGTAGTTTCACTATCATACAAGTACAAGTAATCACCACAACCTGAAACAAACATTGTCATTGGGTAGATTCACTATCATACAAGTACAAGTAATAACCACAGTCTGAAACAAACATTTGGTAGTTTTACTATCATACAAGTACAAGTAATCACCACAAGCTGAAACAAACATTGGGTAGTTTCCCTATCATACAAGTATAAGTAATCACCACAACCTGAAACAAACATTGGGTAGTTCCACTATCATACAAGTACAAGTATTCACCACAACCTGAAACAATGTCAAAATTAATAATTTGCTTCAAATATAATCTCTAATATTATCTAACATTACCTGTCTCCTTTAACCGAATTGACTTTACTTTATAGCATACCCAGTCCAGAATGAAAAAAATGCAACAATCTCTACAATGTTTTATAGTAGTATCTAAATTATATATGGAAAAAATAAAATCATAGTTTGTAAGTTCTTTGAAAGTAATTACATAAGAAATAATTCAATTACTCTGGTATGTCTTCAAATTCAGTATTACATTCCATTTTACTGGCAGGATTTGTTTTAGATTGGTTTTTATAAACCATAGGAAGACTTGTAAGATTGGTTTAATTTTAGATTTTCTAATTTCATTTGGTATATATATCTAATACATTGTACTCCATACAAACCTGCAATAATGTATGTGCCTTCTACATGAAGTGCTGTAACTGGCCCAGTATGGTATATACATTTAGCATTCTCCATTGCAGACAATATTTTGTATATTTATATAGAAGAAACATCTGCATAAAGCAAACAAATTCTAAACACCATTATACTGCAACAGAAAAAAGAAAAGATGATCAGAATTATTTTATTTGAATTAAATTTACAAAAAAATGTACAATGCAATCTGTGAATCGGCGAAAGAGTAAACGAGATAACAGTCTACTTTCAACCAAAACATTATTTTGGCATCTTTTGAAAAAAAAACATTCTAACCAGATTATGTCTTTTTTCAATTTCCAGAAATTCCCTTCTAGGTGCCACAAGAGGAAAAATAACTATACTATGCATTGTATCAATCTAATGAGTTAAGTCCTTTTCAACTGATTTTTATAGTTAGTTTATTGTTTGTTCTTATGTTGTGCTGTTACAGCACAGTCCCAGGTTATGGGAGGGTAAGGCACCTGCAAAAATGTTTAACCCTGTTACATTCTGTATGTGCCTGTCCCAAGTCAGGAGCATGTAATTCTGCGGTTGTTGTTTGTTACTGTACATCATATTTGTTTTTCATTTATTGTTTTGTACATAAATAAGGCCGAAAGTTTTCTGGTTTAAATTGTATACATATGTCATTTCATGGCCTTTAAAAGCTTGGTATGCAGTATGGGTTTTGCTCATTGTTGAAGGCAATACAGTGACCTATACATGTAGATGCTAACTTCTACATCATTTAATCTCTGGTGGAGAATTTTCTCATTGGCAATCATACCACATCTTCTTATTTATTTAACATGTTTAAAGGTGCTGATTTTGACAGGTGCCAAAATTATCTAGGTACCATATTGACTAGTTAAGGAGAACATCAGCATTCAAGGAACTGTCAGTATTCAGTGAAAATTAAGCAATTTACGTGGACAAAGTTAAATATAATTTGATACTTGAAAAGGCAAATGTATAAGCAGGAATTCATTGCAAGTAATGGGGAGGTATACTCAACCGAGTATATGGTAAGCAGGATGTTTATGTTACCTGTTACAGTGTTCTCCCCAGGCCCTTATAGGACCGCAGGCCCGCAATGTATATTTTTTTACCGTGGTAGTATCAGTCTTACCACGATGTATAATTTTTGTCCGTGTTGCTAAAATTTTCAGTAAAAAAATCGTAAATCGGTACAGTGTATTAACTTATTGTTTCAATACTGTACAGGAACCAGCAAGTCCTGATTATCATGATGTCTCCTAAAAGTTTTATTCGGTTTTCATTATCACAATTATTCTATATCACTCATTGACATCAATATGTTGATGCCTTAAATCTAGACAATTTGGATCCCTGACAGTCTTCACTTTTTATTAATTTGATTGATTGATTGATTGATTGATTGATTGATTGATTGGCATTTAACGCTACTTTCACTGTTAGCCATTTTGTGGTAGGAAAACTGATTATCCTATTCAATTAAGATTGAAGTCGAATGCACCTGCCATGTGCAGGACTCAGACTCATAACCTCAGCATTGACAGGCTCATGTCAGATATAGTAGTTGAACTACTTAGACCACTCTGGCACTCGGCGACTGAGGCCCATTTTTTATTAAAAGCAGTGTTGCTGTAACTGAAGACTTCAAGGAACTATAAAATGATCTTCTAAGACATCATAATTATTTGGACTACATTGTTGATTGATCTAAGCATACATGTGGGCAAAGGAAAAAGGAGTTGGCCTGTTTCTTACACGTGGTTTTATCTTTGTATGGGCCCGATTTAAAAAAAAATAAAAATGCTCAAATATGACACTCGTAGAAGTTGTATATTTTTGTGTGTATTGCATACATCTACCCTTATTTCAATCTTTAGCATTAGCAAGCTGCAAATTCAACTTTCCATTTAGCCGGAAGTACAGAATTAGCAATACATTTAGAGTCGGAACCGGTGTATTATTCAAAGTGAAAGTTGACACACCACGGTGCCGCCGACAGTGTCGACTAAGAAGGCTTCAACATGTTTTCGTTCAGTTAAAGATGTGACAGTAGTTTTTCTGACTGCAATTCTTAATTGAAATGCACGTAGTTCATACAGAAAATAACAACAGCTTAATATTACATATAAAAAAAGCCAAAGACTTTTTATATTTTAAGTAGTAAGTTTCCAAATAAGTCTAGGGCAGAGAAAACCATCCCAGAAGCTTTAGAATATTTATATATTTTTGAAGCTTGGCCTGTGTTTCATCAAAGATTTATATAGTAAGAACCTTCTTACTATGAGGAGGTGGACAGCTTTTGAGGGAGGTGGGAGACAAAAAATGAGTGGGAGAGAAAAAACAGATTCTGAAAGTGGGAGGTGGGAGGTTGGAGAAAGGTACCCCCTGTCCACCCCCTCATGATCTACTATAAAATCCTTAGTTCATAAAAAATCTAATGACTAAAATAGATTTTTGTGAAACACAGGACTGGGGCTAGTCCAAATAATTATGACATCTTAGAAGGCTGATTATTTTTTTTTTGCTTTTACCATGTTTAATAACATGAGGGATCTATAAAAATCTAAATCGAAAAAAAAAACCTCATCAGTCAGCATGTTTAACTAGACTAGCCTGGGGCTAGACATTATTTTACATAGCATGGATTTATTATTTTATTAATTACATTACAGTAGTCTCTGATTCCTTTACTTGGACATCCTCCATTTGATAGTAAAACAGAAAACATGTGTGTTCTTTTGGTTATGCAGGATACACAAATATACAATCATGTACTGAACAGAGGCAGATTTAGGGGTAACCCAGGGTGTCCGGTCCCCCTCTTTTGTGGGAATAATTTGGTTGATTATTTAGGGAATCACTGAAGCATGACTAAGCGGGCCCCCTCTTATGGCAGTCAGTGGGCCCCCCCTTATGAAAATTTATGGATCCGCCACTGCTGAACTTGAGTAACATCACCTGGCATTATATGGATTGAGGGACATGTTGCATAATAAGCAAACTTTTGTCCAGAATTAATTCAAAATTGAGTCCTCTACCTTTATTTTAAGTCTGAAATCATTTGAATCGATAAAAATTTTTTTGCAATAAAACGTGATTTTAAGTTTTTTTCAACTTTTCTCAAAGTATAACTTAGCTTTTTTAAAGAATATAATCTAGATAAACATATCAACTGAGCAAATTAACTTTTATATCACTAAGCATGATAAAAATTTAGAGTCATCTGGATCTCTAGGTAAAAATCACTTGAGTAGTATATGTTAATTTTGTTCTTAGAAGTCACCTCTTTTAAGTAGCATATTTCCAGCTAACCCCCCTGGCAATTGACCACTGTGACCTGAGAACACTAAACATTTTACTGAGAATATTACTTTTTTATTATGCCCCAGCTGTAGCGGAGGCGGCATTAAGTTTTACCCTTGTCCATCTGTACGTCCAGCTGTACGTCGGTACATACGTCCAAAAATTGGTTTCTGTTCTCTAACTTTAGTTTACCTAAACCAAATGTTATGAAACTTATACACAATGCTTATTACCTTAAAACACAGATCAATTTTGAATTTTGGTGGCATCACTTTAACCGTTCTAGAGTTATGCCCCTTTACAAATGGAAAATTGCTAAATTTTTTGTTTCCATTCTCTTACTTCAGTTTGCCTCAACCAAATGTTATGAAACTTTTACACAATGCTTATAACCACAAAACACAGATCAAGAATGAATTTTGGTGGCGTCACTTTTACCGTTCTAGATTTATGCCCCTTGATAAATGGAAAAATTGCAAAATTTTAGTTTCCGTTCTCTTATTTAAGTTTGCCTCAACCAAATGTTATGAAACTTATTCACAATGCTTATAACCACAAAACACAGATCAAGATTGAATTTTGGTGGCGTCACTTTTACCGTTCTAGATTTATGCCCCTTGATAAATGGAAAAATTGCAAAATTTTAGTTTCCGTTCTCTTATTTAAGTTTGCCTCAACCAAATGTTATGAAACTTATTCACAATGCTTATAACCACAAAACACTGATCAAGTTTGAATTTTGGTGGTGTCATTTTGCCGTTCTAAAGTTATGCCCCTCTACAAATAGAAAAATTGCTGAATCTTTTCGTTTCCATTCTCTTACTTTAGTTTGCCTCAACTAAGTGTTATAAAACCTACACACAATTCTCATTACCACAAAACACAGATCAAGTTCGAATTTTGGTGGCGTCACTTTTGCTGTTCTAGAGTTATGCCCCTCTACAAATGGAAAAATTGCTGAATTTTTGTTTTCATTCTCTTACTTTAGTTTGCCTCAACCAAATGTTGTGAAACGTATACACAATGCTTATTACCACAAAACTCAGATCAAGTACAAATTTGGGTAGCGTCACTTTTACAGTTCTTGAGTTATATCTCTTGATAACATTATATGCAAGCGGGGGCATCATCTGTGTCCCATGGACACATTCCCCATTTATTGCATAATCTTAAAGCTTAGATTTTAAAGTTTTTGGGGAAATATAGTGGTTCTGTTAGGAAAAATCCAATGAATTTGGATCAAGCATTTGAAAAATGCCTAAATTCACTCAAAAAACTGCATATATGCCATCAAATCATAAGGATTTACTTATACTCCCTTCCATGCAAAAATAAGTAGTAAGAGCATGTCTTACCTTCTTAATATTAATCACAATGCACAAGTTCAATTGTTCAAAAAGATGCATTGTTTAAAAATATTGTGTTAAACATTAGATGGATTTATGAACCAGTAAGCATCTGTAATCTGATTTAACATTGCAGTGTACACAAACTCAATACAGAATACATAAAGAAGGACTATAAGAAGAATAATACTATGGTCATCATGGTGGATAGTTGTCTCATTGGCTATCTTACCACATATAGTTATTTTGACATATTAGAAACAGTAAGAGTAATTAGAGTTTTTTTGTCTCTTTGTTATGGATGTATTGAAAATTCAATTTTAAGGAGAATGTTAGTTTAGCAAAATAAAAATAGATAAATAAAGTACAAATATTTTTATGATAAGACTAGTTTTTATTCAATCTTTTATAGAAAATGACAGAAAAGACAGCTATGGATGAATGGAAAGAAGAAAAGACAGCTATGGATGAATGGAAAGAAGAATTAGAAGAATATCTGACATGCATTGATGACTTACCTATTAATAGTATCAACAGAAGTCAAAAGTAAGCTGATGAATTATCTGTCAATAATATTAATAGGTATTTATAAGAATTATGTGACTCTGCTTACTAATCACCAAAAGTTTTAACAACAAAAGTATGAATAGAAGTCAATAGTAAGTAAGAAAATTATCTATTTTGTGAAGACTGTTATTTATCTTTTTTCATCATTTTTAGCTTTTTGCCATTATTTTGTTGATCTCTTCATTTATTGAGTTTTGAATCTTCCTTTTTGTTATCTTCCCCTTTACAAGTATTAACAGTTAATTACCAATTTATAGTACCATCAATTTACAGTACTATCAGACTCCAAAAGTAATTAAGTTGGGAAAAAATAATCTGCTATAAGAAGTCGGCAAATTGCATATTTTCAGTATCATCATATTTATCAGGATTCAAGATTGAGTGGGTTTTTTTGTTTCCTGTGTGATTTGTTTATGAAAAAAAAAAAATTTGTCACATGTACAATTAATATTTATAATAGATTTTGGAAGAGAGATCCTTGCCCAGAGAATTTATACTCCTCAGATGTTTGTCCTTGCCAAACTAAAATAGATGTAGTGAGAAATCCAACTACTGGTGTATTGTTAGGTTATAAAGAGGTAATTTTTCTACATAATGTGCATTACTTACTGATTTCAGTATTGTACTCCTAATTGAAATATGGATAATCAAGGTTTCATTGCCTAAACAATTTTAAAATTAGAAAAACACACATGAGTCTATTAACTATAATGCACAGAAACAGCAAAAAGTACAAATGAAATTTTCAAATAAATGATAAGAAGTTAAGGGGGAAATCTCTGGGAAAGTTTTTATATAATCCTTGGTTAAAGTTCAACTATTATGCACAATAGCATTTGCAGTTATGATTATAAGTATCCAGTGAAGACTGTGTACAATTGAATAGATTGGTAACTTACAGTAAAAAAGGTGTAGATTATTATATTTTTTTTCCAGGAATATCTTGCTAATATCAGCGAAAATGCCAGAAATTCATTGTCCCTTAAACGACAACCTGGACCAGTTCAGTTGGATGTCAGGGGATCCAGCACACATAATCCTTTCTGGCCAGGTAAGGCAGTCGATCTGCAACTACAGGTATATATCAGGGGATTCAGTACACTCTTCATAATACCTTTCTTGCTAAGTTAGAAAGAATTTGATGCAGGGATTCAGTATACCTTAAATCTTTCCTTTCTTGGCAAGGCAGATAGAACCAGTTCAACTAGATTTCAAACTGGTGATCAAGGACACATAAATCTTTTCCTGATCAGGTATGCATAGAAAAATGATGTCCTCATCATAGAAAATATTTTGAATGAGCATAGATAAAAGATAGGATTACAATATGAGTTAAGGTAGATTAAAATATACATGTTTACTTCAATTATCTAATGGATTGATTTCAATGAAAGGAGGTTACACCAGATTTTAAACCATTTGTTGACTGCAACAGTATTGCCCTTAGAATCCGTGTGCCTATTCACAACTACAGTTCTTGATAAAATTTTATTTGTAGAGAGTCTTTCTTTTTCCAAAAGTTGAAGGTCATAAAAGTATAAATAGAAGAACATGTGTGTTACTGTGGATTCATTTATTTTCGTGGGTATCAATTTTCGTGGATTGAGTAAAACTTGCATTTTTTGATTTCGTGGTTTTGCCAATCTCTGCATACAAAGCCTATTGAAAAATTGTAATTCGTTCAACATTTGAATTCGTTGTTCACCTGTTTCCACGAAACCCACGAAAATTGGTATCCAACGAATAATAATGAATCCACAGTATACATCTATGAGACCACAATCTAATGACACAAAAACCAAAGAACATTTTTACATCAGTATACTGTCCTCAACACCAGACTGGTGTCTTTACAATATGTCAAGCTCGATATCTCACTGATTCTTCTGATGAAAATTAATCCAAAGACGATGAATTTTGTCTTTTTCAGGAGGTCTTGATGAACCAGATATAGATAATTTAAATGAAAATTCTTCTTTTGATAATTTACTCCAGGAAAAAGGTAGGAACATGCTTAATATGTTATTTTGAGACATTGTCAATTTTGGTCTATTTTTATTCATATCTGTCTTCCTCCATCTTGGATTTTGAAATAGCAGATAACAATCGGTCTAGATCTTTAATGAAATGTGCAAATTTCAAGAGTAGTATATAATTCATGTGTAAGACTTTTCGTGTTAATAAAGAAAAATATGTGTTTGATTCATTTTTAAAGCAATGGGTCAACTATATTTGGTGTATGGAATAATTGTAAGGTGTACATGTCTGTGTGACAGTTTTTATCTGACCTTGACCTCATTGTCATGGATCTTTTAAAAATGTTAAATTTATGAGATACTTGTAGTAAAACCTTTATCTTTAAGACTTTCAACATAAAATCAATGGTCAGTAAATCAGGTGAGACATTTCAGCGTGTGCACTCTTGTTTTTATTTTTTCCTAATATCTTGAAAAATATAATAGGATAGAGAGATACTTTAAATTGCAAAAATGATCAGCAAGACAAGATCTACAAATAAGTCGACTTGGTCGAAATCGTCAGTCGACTCCTTACTAGTGTTATTGATCTTTGATGACTATTTTTACCAATTTTTTGCATTTATGCCTTATATATTAAAAATTATAATAGATAAGATAGAAAGTTAAATTAGCAAAAGTGATCAGCATGACAAGATCGACAATTAAGACAATATAGAGGAAATCTTCAGACAACTCCTTTTTGGAGTTATTGTCCTTTAATGACGTTTTTTTACAACTTTGTGTTTTGCGTTATATGATAAAAATTATTATAGATAAATAGACACTTTAAAAACAAAAATGATCAGCAAGGCAAGATCTACAAACAAGTCAAATTTTACTGATATAGTTCATAGACTGTCACTCTTTATAGGAGTGATCGCCCTTGATTGAAGATTTTTTTTTCCCTTTTGTGTTTTGAGCAAAAACTAAAAAAGATAGAGAGAAACTAAACAGACTAAATGATTAGCAATACAAGATCAACAAAAAAGAGATTTTTGTCATGAATTCTATTCTCATCTACAATGTTGGAGAGTGTCCTTTGTTGAATATGTACATAGACCTAGGTGAGAGACACAGGCTCTTTTGAGCTTCTAGTTTTCAACTATGCCACATAAGGGGAGATAACTCAGTTTAAGTAACGTTTATAATAGAATGCATTGTGAATTAACCTATTTTATTATGTAGCAAGAGTCCAGTGACCCCATTTTTCTTTTTCTTATCTGAAAGCATATGATAAGAGCTATCTACTCAGTAGATTTCTCTTTATCACACAAAATTGGGTTTTCCATGCATTATCTATACAAAATCTGACAATTTTGCACAACCTGTAGCGTGAAAAAAGCCCTGTGACCTATACTTTTTATTATATTTTTGAAAAAAGCATGATATAAACTACAGATTGACAAATTATTAAAAAACTCTATTGATTTTAATTCAGATCCCCTATCTACCTTAACATTTGTAATTGCAGATTTGAATGTTTATGTTACTGTAAACTAGAAAATTTGGTTATTACCCAGATTCAAATCTTATAATAAAGAAGCCCTTTCATAATTAAATGGACAATACTTCTTAATTCAGCTGTTAGCAAGCTGTATTTATCCTTTCCATAAGATATTGTTTTAGATTTATTAAGAGTAGCCTATGGTATGTTCTATAATGATTATATGATGTTTTAAATTAATTTTATATATTTTTTTTAGATTTTCTAACAATAGCCCCTGGTATGAGTTCTGGGATGACATTTGAGACTACAAAATCCAAGGAAGAGTCTATTCCAGAAGTGCCAACCTCAGAAGAGACCACACCCACTGTTATAAATCTAACAGATATCCTGATCCAGGACTTTGATGATTTAGGTGACTGGGATAAAGACGAGGAAGAGGTTAAGGAGGCTTCCAAAGAGGTAAGCATCACATTAACCTTTCCTTTTTATATTTAATATGCTATAAAAATAAGAAGATGTGGTATGATTGCCAATGAGACAACTCTCCACCAGAGACCAAATGACATAGAAGTTTACAACTATAGGTCACTGTACGACCTTCAACGATGACCAGATTTCTAAAAAGTCAAGCCCCTCATTCAACTCCCTCACCACAGATATTATATACAGATCCAGATAATTTTATTTACCAATCAAGGTACCCATTGAAGAGCAAATTAATCACAATGCAATTATTCATAACTTATTAAAAAACTAAGCAATAAACTGATAAGACAATAGTTGGTTCATTAGAATAATAAGTGTATCAATTGTACTTGTTTATACATATAAACCTTTCCAAAAAGTATACAGAATAACACAAGCACATAAGTTTACAGTATTTAACAAAAAATAAATTTCCACATTTTATTTTTAAATCTGAACTGTTATATAACTGGCACATTATTGTAGAAACAGAACAAAAAATAATGAAAGATTGAAGTAACATGTAAAACAATGTTGTAAGGTTAGATATTATTATCTTTGAACTGAAAAGTTTCAAATATACCAATTTACATAAAGAGCATGTAAAATATATATCTGTGTTTACAGGAGACAAGTGAACAAATCACAGTATCTGGAAGTGAAAGTATAGATGAAATTGTCTCTGTAAGTTATTACATTTTATAATTGTTTCAGGGGACTTGGTGGTCGATTTGTCTAAGTAGTTCATCTACTGTATCACTAGCCTGTTAACTTGGAGGTTGTGAGTTAGAACACCCGACGTGGCAGGTGCCGTTGTCTACAATCTTAATTGACTAGGATTGTCATTTTTCCTTCCAAAGGATTTTGTTCTCTCAGGGCACTCTGGCTTCCTCCTCCAATAAAAACTGACCGCCACGATATAGCCGATAGTGCTGAAAGAGGCTTTAAACACCAAAAATCAATAAATCTAATTGTGTCAAATATGACTGTATATCACAACAGTACATACTTTTCATTTGTACAACAATAATTTAATCTTAGGAAAAGCAATTTTAAATAGAAACATTATTAAAGATAGGAGATTTTAAACTTGAACAAAACAAGACAGATAGTATTATTCCTCTGGTATCCAACACTTAAAGGAAGTACAAGTAAAAGATAGAGTCAAAACATTGCAGTCAAAACTGTTTGAAGTACATGGACTTATGGAGTGAAACTAGGTGCATCAACAGGGAAAGTGTTTCCTGCTATGTATGCATCACCTATCATACAATTATAAAGTGACATCCAGTAGCAAATATAACTACAAGGAACATGATAAAACTGTTAGTGTGTCTACTATAGTGGATTTGTTTGATATTTTCAAAAATAATTGAATTGGTTTTCCCTTAATGTTCCACTCACTTTGTAAGGAGCCTTTGTTTTTTTCTGTTTTGTTTTTTTTAAATTTTTTTAGGGGGGGGGGGGGGGGCTTTGAAAATAACTGCTGAACTGTTATTTGTTTGGGAAAACTGTGCAACATCAATATGTGTATATCCAGTATGTCTTTTCTATTGTATATTATCATGAAACCTAAATTTGCTATTTAGATAATTCAAAAATATCTAGGTGAAAAGATTTTTTAAGTTGGTCTTAAAATAGTATATCTGTATGGTCAACTGCTTGCTGTAGTATGTAATTCCTGCAGATGTATTGTAACATATTCTGTAAGTGTCTGTTTTATTTCTTATATGAATATAATTATTCGGTCCCATGCTTTTTATATATATCTGAAAAGCACTGCAATTATATGCCTACTTGGATTGCCAATGTACAATACCAATGTTCAATGATCTTCTATAGAGAAAATTTCAATAGAAACTGCTTAATGTTGGTTTTATCCTTTTGGTTGATGATGGATATTATATATTATAGGCGACAATTCCTACTAGCACTGCAAATGAAGCTAAAACAGTACCAGTACCAGTCAAGGAGGAATGGGCCATTAATGTGGATGTGGATCATCCAGTGGATGACTTTTATAAGAGGATTCCTGATATGGCCTATAAGGTAAGATAATAGTCCAACAAATGAGCAGTGAGAATGTAGAATTGATGTTGACCATTCTTTAGATAGTTAAATGTGGGTTTATAATTGGCCATTGAAAATATGAACCATCTTGATTATTACTTCTATAAAACAGTACCTGTAACATAGGATTATGTCTTTGCCAATGCAGACCACTTCGTAAATGATTTCATGAAAGATATCTTCGAATAACCCAAATGGCGGCTTTATTTTAGATGATATTGTGGACGATCTTTGTAAAAGTCTTCCTGATATGCCTGCTAAATATAAGTAATTAAAATGATGAGACAAAAACATTTGATTTTGTTACAGTGGCCCTTTGAATTGGATGTCTTCCAGAAACAAGCTATACTACACCTAGAGAACCATGATAGTGTCTTTATAGCAGCACACACATCAGCGGGGAAGACCGTCATAGCTGAATATGCTATTGCCCTGTCACTCAAACACATGACAAGGTATGTCAATAAAACATTAGCAGGGAAGTATCAAAACTGAATTCAACTATTGCCCTGCCACTCAAGCAGGTGACAAGGTATGTCAATACAACATCAATCCTTTCAGTTCAACAGGGAGGACAACTATAGCTAAATATGCTATCACCGTTGCTTATACCATGATTCTATATTTTTTACCATGGTGCTATCTGAATAGATTTTATATAGAATTTACTAGTATATTAGATATGTTGCTATAATTTTTGGGAAACAGTGGTTATTCAAGCCTATTGGCGCTATTTGAAAATACTGGGGAAAACACTGACAAAATATGCATATACAACAATGATACAGCAATTAAGATGATATTTTAGGGGAATTTCTATTTTTGGGTTGCTGTTTCATTTATATTAACCCGCATTTTACATCCTTTTATTATACCTCTTGATCATATCTCCGAATAACCATTTTATATTGCAGGACAATTTACACATCTCCAATCAAAGCTCTGTCAAACCAAAAATACAGAGACTTTAAACAGACCTTTGTTGAAGTTGGATTGATTACAGGAGATGTCCAGATCCACCAGGAAAGTGCATGTCTTATAATGACCACTGAAATTCTCAGGTGTGTAGTATTTATCATATAATGACCACTGAAATTCTCAGGTGTGTAGTTTTTATCTTATAATGACCACTGAAATTCTCAGGTGTGTAGTATTTGATTGTTATCTTAGGGCTGAAATTGATGAGGTGTTTGTATCAAGATATGTCCAGATCCACTACCCGAGTGTATATCTTATATCATGTGCTGACATTACCAAGTAACAGGTAACAGTATGGGTGTAGAAAAAGACAGGATATGGTGTATTAATTCTATCATAAATTCCCTATACACTCTGGACACAACAAAAAGCAAAGGAGCAGCACTTTTATTGCTATTATTCATCTCAATGACACTGTGAAGGCTTTACATAGAGCAGTTTAAGCTCAAACCTTACTACAAGTTCAAGATGGACATCAGTACGACTTTGCTACATGTAGATACAACTGTGCATTGAATTACCAAGATGCCAAATAATATCAGCAAATCATGATGTATAACAGGGAAATAAAATTAACATACATGGCGATGATGCATACTTGGATAATTACCATGACAATCTTACTGCGAAATACTGAAACAGTATAGTAGTGTTGTAATTAAACATACTCAGAGATGAAAAGGTTCAAGTGCAGATATTATTGGATTTTGTAATGCAGAATTAGTCCAGATGCTGTAAAAAATTATCCTTTAAATAGCTAATCAGGGGCGTAGCTAGGTATCCAATAAACTGTAGGCACAAATTGGGGCAGGGGGTCTGGGGCTGAGCCCTGGTAGGGGGTTCAGGGGGGCCGAAGCCCCCCCGACGGAAAACAGTTTTCAGCATTTTTGTTGCAAAATTTTGTGTACAAAAAAAAACATAAAATCTACTGGTAATTTGATCATAATATAAATGAAGAAAAGTTCAATGAATTATAAATCAATAACATCTGAATGATGAATTTACTGAGTACAATCGGAAATCTAAAAAAAAAAATATTTACAATATGCATTGCCCATGCAGCGTAGATCAGCGTAGCCCTTTAATTAAGCAGTACATCCTGTTTAGTATTTTCATATCTATTCCTTTCTGATTGAGGATAATTGATATCTACATGTATACGTCAACTGATAGTACATTTTGATGATCCTTCATTAAAAAATAGCACGTAAACACTGAGACTACTACTAGTATATGATAATACTATCGTTTGAGCTAGGCAACGACCATTCATCTTTTGATTCTTAAAGATTCACTCTCCCCGCCACACAAAAACTCACACACACAGTCGATGCCTAATGAAGCTAAAAGTTCGGTTCTGTTCATACTATCTAACAAAGTTCAAGAATTCATATTTTCTGATATCCTGTACTGTAAAATTCCTACCTAAGGAATTTGAATAATTATGGCCATTACACGTTGATCTGAGAGTACTCGAAGTAACTGAAAGCTAGCTGATTGATTAATTGATTGCTAAACGTCCAGTGGCAAATAGTTCATGCATGTTCAGGACAAAAACAAATTTACAATTAGGTAGGTCCTGTAATAGGGATCGTCCAGGATGAAGGTCTGGAAATTTGGAAATGCCATTGGAAAATGAGGGTTTATTGGAAAGGGACAGAAATTTTGCCTTTCAGCAGACCACCTACGGACCCCTCAGTGAGTTGTTGCAAGTGTTCTTAACGTGCAGAGAGCGTGGCATTCTATCTACACTAGGCTTGGATTTAACGTCTCCATTCTGTCCATACATCCCGCACAGCTAAATGGACGCCCCACTTGGCAAGGGTTAATTTAATTGTAGGTCTGATGAAGACAAAGTTGAAAGCTAGTTGAAAGCCAATAACAACTAATAAAAAAAAATCATGCATCTAAGAATAAAATGTCAGGGTTTTGAGCATGTTGAGGTTCATTCATTTATTAGTTGATAGAAGTGAAATGCTCTGAACCAAAGTTCTAATATAATGTACATACAATTCTATCCAATACTCCATTCATTAAGGATGATAGACTAGTGTACAAATGACATTTGATAATTAAAGAGTTTTGACGATTTCACTTGCATCTACAGATAACGTTGTCATTTTTTGTTTGTGAAAAAATTATGTGTAGGCACGTGCCTAAAGTGCCTAACGGCAGCTACACCCCTGCTAATAATAACAAATATATAAATACACTTGAATTAAATGCAATTTTGATGTTGCCTTGTTAGCATGTTCCATTTTATCTAATTGTTTTCAATTAGAATGAATGTTAATTTGTACAAAATCCTTGCATCAGTTACCGGTAGATTACCAGAAAATCTGATATACACGTAGAGCATATATTGAGGAAAGAGAAACTTCTAAATACCTATATATATAATTGATGTAGGGTATGTTGGTAAGTGGGCTTGCTCAATAAAGCTTTTACAGTATGTTATAAGTTTTAACTTTTTGATTTTAGATCAATGTTATATAATGGATCAGATGTGATCAGAGATCTTGAATGGGTCATCTTTGATGAGGTACATTACATAAATGATGCAGAGGTAAGAACCATTATAGCTGTAGAGTGTAAGAACGTATTATTGTTGTGAAATGGGATAGAATAGATTTAAGATAGTTGTACTTAAATATATCATAATAATGCTGAAAGACAGGGATTAAAGAAATAAAATGATAGATGACTAGGGTAAACTTCTAATTAGTTGATTGCAACCCGCTTCCATTTATTCAGCCAATCAGAGTGATGTTATATACAATAATGTGATAAATTTACTAAGGCTTAAACACAGACATTAGTGAAAATCCTCCGATTTTTGGCTGCCTCTCAGATTTTATTCTTCAAAATTTGGAAATTCTCCATCTTAAGACCATTGTCCTGACCAGGAAGTCAACTTAGACTCTGGCGAAAAAAGCTTCTTTTTCTGTTATTTGATATTAGTAGTCATTTGTCCTGTAAAATTGACAAATTGTTGTTAAAACATTGCTAGCCTAAGCTACATGATTTCATGTTGTTTTAGCTAATGAATTTATTAACCATTGTATTCAATATCATTTAAATATAGATTGTAAGAATTTTTTAACGTTTTAATACTCGAACAGCAAAAAGTGAGATAAATATAGATTCTTACATTGGTACCAGTGGATTATCGGATTTGTCCAATCGAGATAGTTAAATTATCAAATTTTAAAGTCCTCACCAAAAAGGATAATTTAACTATCGAGATTGGATAAATCCGATAATCCACCAGTAACTATGTAAGAGTCTGTTTCTCTAATGATTATAAAATAAATTTTTGAAAAATGAAAATCCCCTTCAAGTGCCTTCCATGTTCCACAAAGTTGTCAATTTCTCTAACACCTGTTAGCACATTTCGATTCATCCTGTGAGCTGATAAAGGTTATGACCCTTAAACTTCTGAGATCATCGGCAACCACATGTTGAATAATTTGTTTTATAGAAAGGGTCCAGAAAGGGTTAAATTACCAAAGAATTAGAGAAAATACCTTACAAAGAAACATGCAGTAAATTCTACTGCTAATTCCCATACAGAAAATTTGCAAGTCTATAAAAAAGTTGACACTTCTTACTGGGGAGAGGAGTTTAATTTGAGATACTAATACTATGGATTTAGAAGATTTTTTAATTAAGTATAATATTAAAGAGATGTGGTTTGAATCCTTATGAGACACTTATCCAAGACCAAAGGACAAGGATGAGAACAACTATAGCTCACAGTGTGGCCTTCAACAATGACCAAAATTAATAACTTACATTATTAAAGCTATAAATGGTGATAGGATATCAAAATGTGAAACAATCCAACAGAAAACACTATTAGCCCGATTTAAGCTAATAACATTACATAAAAAAATAGACATATGACAGAAATCAAACAAGGACAACAATTAAATTGCATTGATATTTGTTCTATTGTAAAAGATGAAAGGGAGATAATTTTATATTTTCTAAGTTTGGATGTGAATTTAAAAAATAATAGTATTGATCTTTAATTGAACAGAGAGGAGTTGTGTGGGAGGAAGTACTCATTATGTTACCTCAACATGTAAACATCATTTTACTGAGTGCAACTGTACCCAATACTTTGGAGTTTGCAGATTGGATTGGGTAAGAAAATTAAACGTTACATGAATTTTTAGTGAAAAAATGTTAACAATATAAATTTAAACATTTTGATAAAAAAAAAGTTTAAAATGAGAGAGCAATTTTTTTGTATTGTTAATCTAGCCAACTGTCTTTCCGATATTTTAAAAAGGTTTCTTGATGATAAAAATTAGTTTGATTTTCTAGTATTATTCTTCTTTGTCATAACTACTATTGACCATAAAATTCAGATCAACTTTGATTCTTATAGCCAATAATAAAAAATACAAATTCAATTTGATGTTAAGAATCCCACCATTCACAATTAAAAAGTTTTTCTCTTTGAAAATTGAAAATAAGCAAAATTATTCATTTATTGAGTGTGAATGATATTTTAGAAAATAGCTTATAACCCTAAGATTTGACATTCGGTATTGATCAGCAATTATGAATAGAGAAAAAAAGTTGACGAATAAAGAAATAAAGGACCCCCCCCCCCCCCCATCCAGACCCTCAGTTACTGTGTTTATATATTCATATTAATAGGAGGACAAAAAGGAAGAAGATTTACGTGATTAGTACACTGAAGAGACCAGTACCTTTAGAACACTATCTATATACAGGAAATAGTAATAAAACTAGCAGTCAATTATTTCTTATACTGGATCATAAGAAACAGTTCCAGATTGGAGGGTATGTATATTAAACTCTGAAGACTATAGTATACTGAGAACAATGATTAATCAAGCCGTCAGTTGGTTCTTATAGTGGACAGAAAGAAACAATCACAGATTAAATGTTATTAGATGGTATGTCTATTAAAGTGACATTTACCATTGTTAAAGGAATATATGTGCAACCCAGCCATTTGAAGACTGAGTCTGATTCATTTTTTGTTTGTTCTATATTAATCATCATATCTGAGCTGTGATAAATCTTCAGAGTATTTGTGGTGGTAATGTCTATACTTGACATATTTGAATATTAAAATTGATATTATACTTATATTTCCCTGTCGTCAATTTTACACAGGTATAACAAGGCAGTGGATGCCAAGAAAGAAAGAACTAGTAAGGCATCACAGAATTTTGGAGCCAAAGGTCAAAGGGGAGGTCATCCAAACCAGGTAATTTTATTACAGCAGTCTTAAAGGGTATTTCATCGTAATACAGTACTTCTTTTTAAAAAGTGTTTAAACAAATGAGTATTTTGTCTACATTGTTCAAATATTTAGAAAATTGTACTGTTGTCTATTGTTGATTTGTAAGTTTTGAACTTATGAAGTAATTTAATTTATCAATAGTTTATAAAACTTTTAACTTTTTCGATTTACTAAGGATTTTCTACCCCAGGAATAGATTACCTTAGCTGTACTTGACAAAACCTTTTGGAAATATGTGTCCTCAGTGCTCTTTAAGTTCATACTTTATTTGGCCTTTTTAACTTTTTTTTATTTGATTGTCACTGATGAGTCTTTTGTATACAAAACAGGCATCTGGCATACAAAATTTTAATCCTGGTATCTATGATGAGTTTATTTGTTGATGCAAGTATCATAGTTTAATAGAAAACTTCTGGTTTAAAGGCTTTTGTCTCGCCTGCAACGAAAATTGCAGTATGCGAGACATAGGGATGACTTTCTGGTGGTGCTGGCAGTGGCTGCAGTATAAACTATTTGTTAAAAGCTTTATATTTCAGAAGGTATGCTGGATGCTTCATACCTTGTATGTAGATACCCTATGTTACAATGTTTCCTTCTATCATATGTCCATTGTCCTTGACCTCATTTTCATGGTTCAGCGACTGCTTGAAAAAAATTATAGGTTTTTTTGTCATGTGAATTCCTCACTTATTATGAGTAATAGGATAACTATATTTGGGTGACCTCGACTTCATATCATAGATCAGTGATTAAGATTGAAGTTACATGAATAGGTCTGTTCCTCAGATACTTTAAGCAGTAGGTCAACTATATGTGGTGTATGGAATGATTATAAAGTGTACATGTCTGCCTGGCAGGTATCATCCAACCTTGACCTCATTTTCATGGTTTGTTGGTCAATGTTAAGTTTTTGTGTTTTGGTCTGTTTTTTTATTACCATAAGCAATAGGTTAACTATATTTGGTATATTGAATAATTGTAAGGTGTACATGTCTGTCTGACAGGATTTATCTGACCCCTTGACCTCATTTCCATTGATATTTAAGAATGCAGGCGAGACATTTCAGTATGTGCACTCTTGTTTAACTTTGGTTTCTGACTTTATTTTTACAAAATCAATGGAAAACTATCTGTTTATTAATTAAACTACAAAATATACTAAGAATAATAAACATTGGCAATATTTTAAAACGTAGTCAGGATGAAAGTGATGAATTGATTAACTTAGTGCTGGCACTAAATATGAAGGTTTAAAATTTTTGTGGGCTCATTATACACTTATTTGTTTGTCCAAATCTTATACAAAAAATTTGAATCTGAAAAACAGATGATTCCAAGAAGAATTGGTAAACATTTGTTGTTTGTATTATAGACAATTTTAACACATTCTTGCTATACAGGTTAAATTATGTGCAGAAAAGACCTTTTTTTATACATTTTGATCTTAAAATGAAAAACAGTAGAATTTTTACTACAACTTTATAAACAAGGGTAGCAATGATTTATGTAATTGTTAACAAATAAATATTTTCAAATTATTTCCAGGACAAAAATATCTGGATATCGCTGATTGATATGTTGAAAAAGAAGGACAAACTACCTGTTGTCTCATTCATATTTTCTAAGAAGAGAATAGAAGAAACAGCCAACAATCTGGGAAGTTTGGATCTTACTGATCAGAAGGAAAAAAGCGAAATACATATTTTCTTTCATAAATCTATAAATAGATTGAAAGGTACTGATCAGAAACTTCCTCAGGTAAATGGTTTATTTTACGTTTTATAAAAATACATTTAATTGGGTTAGCTATGAATTCTGTCTCATTTAATAACTCAGTTGAAATAGACGAGAACAGTTTCCACGTCCATGTTTGGGTTACTAGTTCTCAGAACTGATAGCAATACAGCCATATAATTTGGTGTGCATATTTTATGATTCACTAGTTTGATTAATGTTCTAAGCTTCAGGAAATAAAACATTTCCACAGAATCAGTTGTTGGTTACTTGGCAATTTGATTTTTTGCAAAATAAACATTGATATTAAATACAGGATGTGCTGTTAAGTTTAAGGAAAAGCTTTAAAGTTGCCCATCATGTTTAATCTATAGAGTTATCTGATTTTCACAGATAACACAGATGGAAGACATACTTAAGAGAGGACTTGGTGTTCATCACAGTGGGATATTACCAATACTGAAGGAAGTAGTAGAAATGTTGTTCCAAAAAGGTCTTGTCAAGGTTTGTAGAAATGTTATTCTGGAAAAAGTCTTACAAAGGAGCAGGGGCAATAAGCCCCTTATTTGGCCCAAATATTACTTCAAATTTAAAAGTTATCATACATATCCTTAAATTTGTCCTAACTAGACTAAGGTACAAGGTTTTCAGAAAATAAAAGCAAATTTCACATTAATGAGCTACCATGGCAACAAACCATGAAGAAATTTGTATATTTTATAAAATTTCTTGAATTTCCTTGTTTTTCATCAAATTCTAAGTATATTTAAGATTGTCAAAGTAAGTGTGCACCCAAGAAACAACTTTATATTTGGTGAGATTATTTCAATTGTTATAATAAAGCTTCTCTTAAATAATTTTGTTGTTTCTTGGCTGCGCACGATGTTTTCGGAATGGAAATAACGATGGAAAATTGCACAAATTCTGCATTTTTCATCTATTTCATGAAAACGGTACATATTATGACATAACTGTGACATCATCATATAAACAATCTTATGTTTTTCATTCATATTTCTTCACTCTATGCATTTCCAAATATTATGTGCCAATTTGAAGTAGTTGTCAAACATTTTATTTTCTTGGGCCAAAACCGGGCCTTAATGCCCCTACTCCTTTCAAATACACCTGCAGTTTCTATATTTCAGAACAAATGAGTATTTGATCATTGATTTACTTCATAATTTGATTGTACAGATTTCTATCTTGATTTTTGAAGTTGTATAACGTCTTATGCAAGATCATCCTTAGAATTTACATTTTCAAAATTCTTTGATGCCCTATCTTCAATGATAACTTCTACATGCGTATTGAAATTTTAAAGTGTGTAACACCAGAATATTGTTTATGATAAAACTTACAATGAATCATAATAAAGCAAGAATATGTAGATCCTCCTTTTGGCTTAATACGGTGGATTCATTATAAATAAATGATAATGGAGTTCAATAAAAGATACATTTGTAAGAACTAATTACTTAACCAAATATAAATTACTGATGCTTAGATAAAAGCAAGAGTTAAACAATGAAGTATCTAGAAAGTGGCATCTTTTCCTCAAACTATAAACTTTTAAATCAATGTAAATTAATGAGTTTATGGCATATATCATGTATATCAATATATTGACAGGTTCTGTTTGCAACTGAGACATTTGCTATGGGGTTAAACATGCCAGCCAGAACAGTTGTGTTTGATACCGCACGTAAACATGATGGCACAGGGTTCCGTGACCTACTTCCTGGGGAGTATATACAAATGGCAGGACGTGCTGGAAGACGTGGACTTGATACAACAGGAACTGTTATAATGCTCTGTAAAGGAGATATTCCTGTGGTGTCAGATCTACAGAAAATGATGATGGTGAGTAAATCTGAGATTTAAGCAAGCTTTATTACAACAGTATATATCAGCTTTTTATGCCATCTGTTTTCTTATCATTAGTCTGTCCACCATTTATCTACAACTCCTCCAAATCCAGAGAGGGAATTTCATTAACATTTAATATTATCTTTGAATCTGAAAGACAATATTCCCTTTGTTTATTTTTTCATTAGTACAATGATTTTTGGGTTTCCATAGCAAAATATGGACATGTAATGACCTATTATGGCTTTCATCTTTTTTTTTTAACTCTTGTTTCATTTGCAATCATACCACATCTCCTTATTTTTTTATGGTCACAAATACCTACTAAAAATCTATGAAAATTAATACCCCAAGAATGATGAAAATCCACAGTAAAGCTATCATGATTTTGTCATTTATTTTAGGGAAAACCAACCAAACTGGAATCTCAGTTCCGCCTGACATATTCTATGATACTTAATCTACTCAGAGTGGAACAGTTGAAAGTGGAGGACATGATTAAAAGAAGTTTTTCTGAGTTTCATTCACAGAAGGATAAGGTTAAACACAAGGAGGATATGGATAAACTATACAAGGAAATAGCTAATGTTAGAGACATAGAGTGTTATATGTGTTCTATAGACTTGGAAATGTATTACCAAACTTGTAAAGATTATCACCAGCTCAAGAAAAAATTGCAGGTAAGGCTGTGAAACCTTAATTGCATATGATTCCTGTAATATTGTGATATGTGTTAATTAGCTAACAATAGTAAATGGATCTTCAGCGTTTAAAAAAAAAAAGGTTTTTACCTTAAAGTATAAAAACAATCACATTAATTTTCATGACATTCCTTTATACCAACTTAATAACTTACCACAGTAATACTTGTATGCATTCAATATTTCCCACTCAAAAGTATGGGTCAAAAATGTGTTTTTGTCATTCAAAAAATAAGAGATTTTGCTATTTAGAACCATAAAATCTTGGTAAATTTTCACAATATTTGAAAGACCTGACATTTTATACCTTTCACTGACTTTTAATTTAATTTTACAAAACATTTTCATATTTTGTAAAAATTCAGGCTAAATATGGCCCTTTGTGCACCTCCTGTAAAAGATATAAATCATTTTGGATCAGATTCACTATGAAAAAAGAAGTGTTTACTACCTTAACTTCTTACTTATTGTCTATTAACCAAAGACTTTAAAATTGGTATTTTCTGCTTCTCGGCTAAGCACCTGGCAATAAGGAGAGTAAGAGCAAAGACTGGTCAGCTCGGAGTCAGAATAATGTGTCCGGGTATGGTTACATGTCTTCCTGCAACTGTTACCTTGTGAACTTGCACATTAAAAATCTGGCTTAGCATGTGTGTCTAGGACAAAACAGGGTAAATATGCATATTACATTAGCATGTTCCTGTCCTGAATATGCATAGTAATTTGCCACTTGACCTTAAGCAGCCATCCATCATCATCATCATCATCATATTGTCTACAAATTTATATTTACTTGTTTACTTTGTAGGGCGTTGTTTTGTCTCATCCAGCAGCCATAAAATCTCTCACAGCTGGACGTGTTATCATAATAAATGACAACCTACGCAAAAATGTTGTTGCTGTTGTATTGAACTCATCAGTAGGTACAAACAATGAAAGGGCATTTACTTGCTTAGCAATATGTGAGAAAAGGGGAGTAACTCTATCTAAAGAAGATCTGACTAAATATGATAAGATTGCTCCAGTGTTAGGGAATACTCTATTTATACCTGAAAGTCCATGCTGGCATGAGTTAGTACAAGTGAAAGCTGCAAATGTCAGCATTGTTACTACCAAGACCATAAGAGTTGATGCAGATAAAATAATTAATGATCTAAAGAAAAGACAACAGCCTAGATTTAAGTAAGTTGAACTCTGTTGAACCGTTGAGCTACATGAGTACATTTGTCTTTCATCAAATAGTGTAAATTCTTTTTTTTTTTGTATTGAGGAAAATTTTATTTTATTTGATAATTAATTTGCTTTGTTTTGTCAAATGTTGCTTTCAAGCCTTCAGAAAATTTATACTTCGTTGAAAATTTAAATTCATGGTTTACCTTTATCCACAAAATCCCTGAGAATTGTTACCCCACAAATAATAATGAATCCTCAGTAGCTTTTAAATAATCTATTAACACATCTGGTTTCATAACACTCCATGACTCGGTTTGGTTTTAAACTTTCTACGACTAAGTTCTATATAGATAAACCATTATTGAAGACAGTGTTCTCCCCAGATATTTTGGATAGCATCACATGTGGCGTAAAAAAAATAAACTGTATTTTTTTCAATGTCATTTGTCGCGTCGCGGTGATGCTCTATTTCCTTTATGGTATATATGTTTATATTAATTATAATACAATTAAAATATAACCATGATAACAGTTGTTTCAGTTTATGTTTTCTATATTCATTTATAGTTACTGTACAGAATTATTGTTTTCCTCTTGGGCCATATAACAATATATGTGTGGTTCTAGCAGAGACATATAATACAATATGTCTCTGGTTCTAGTTACCCTACCTACCCAACTAAATGAATGAGTGAATGGTTTATTATAGTGCAACCTTTATATATATACAATACTAAATATCAAGTGAAAAAAGAGAAAGTATCATATAGCAATAAAATTTCAATTAAAAAAAAATTTTCATGTCTAAAAATTCATTGTTTCATGGTACTCAATGGATTAGTCCCAGTTGTTTCTTTATATCAAGGTGATGGATATTTTTAACAAAGTTATCTAACAAATAGTCTGTTAATGCATAGTTTTCTCTTTTTGGTATATTTTTTTCTGTCTGCTGTGCCATTTGTGCATCTGTAGTTATTATCGTAAAAATGCGGATTTTTGTCATATCTGGTCCGGTTCCGATCGGTAGTTTACACAAAAGTAGTCAAATGCGGCCGAAGAAAAATTAACGAAAATAAACAATGTTTGACAAGAGATTGGGAACGAATTAAACTGGTCCGCCGTTCCATCTATAGCTTCGCACCGTCAGTGTAGCGATAAGTGAACACAACAGGGGTCCAGTTTAGGGAACGAATGTGACGCTTTTGATGTATTAAATGGATGAAACATAAACTTAAGCCAACTTATTTAGCCCAAAACCGATATGTTCGCTCTCGATTAACAAGTAGTACCGGCGGAAAAGAAAGAAAGTAATTTTATGAAAGTTGTAAAAATAAACGACCAAACCTCATTTTTAAAGAGAAAAATCGTTTGTATCTTTGAATTTCCGTATTGCAAAACGTAGATTTCGAATTGTTTTATGATTACATTTTTTCCATGTCTTAATTTGCGATTGCAGACAGACCACGTGGTATTAATCATGTCACCAGTGGCAGTGTCAGCTTGGGGTATTCGTATCCAAACAGTTATCACCCAAAGGGCAATTAACACCTATTTAATCACTCTTAAATGCCTCTATTGTCCGATTTGAAGGGATTACACTTAAAGGTGATATAATTTTTATGATCATACGCGGTAATTAGATGAAAGTTCAAAATTTAGGACATGGATTTACGATATAGAAACAAGAAAAATAGATCCTCAAAATAATTATAGCGTCGCGGAAATTATTATAGCATCACGGGAAAAAATATAGCGTCGCGGTACCGCGACGCTAAAACGGCCTGGGGAGAACACTGGAGAAATATCTGGTCAAAAAAATTATCTCCCTTGCATTCCATTCAAAACTTATCTTTATTTCATTATGCATCTAATATCTATAGTAATATAATATATGTTAATGACAAGTTGCAAATTTAATTATCTTCATCATAAAAGTTACTGGTAGTCTTCAGCCTATGTTAGTATTGACTCAGTACCAAAAAATTCTTTGAATGTTTTTATAATATGTACCACCAATCTAGGAGTGGAGGCTATGATTATTATTATTACATGTATTATACTCCCACACTTCAACAAATATTGTGAGGTAGTACTAAGGAAAATAACTCTTTTTGGTCAGCAGCTTGACAGTTATGAGCTCCAAAGTGTGGGCACTTTTCAGATCTGTCAGAAACCTTCTTCCTGTTTGTAAATACTTTGAATTTTTCAATATGTTGAAGAAAAAATTTCTACTTCATATTTGGTCAGCAGCTTGACAATGATGAGTTGTAACATTTGATCACTTTGCAGTCGTATATTGGTATGACGTTTGTGTTGTCCTCATCGTCATCGTCCGAAGACACATTGGTTTTCGCACAATAACTTTAGTTTAAGAGAATGGATCTCTATGAAATTCTACCATAAGGTTCAATACCACAAAAGGAAGGTGGGAATTGATTTTGGGGGTTATGGTACCAACAGTTAAGGAATAAGGGGCCAAAAATAAGCATTTTTGTAACTTCCAGACATAACTTGTGTGTTAGTGTATGGACCTCTCTGACATTGTACCACAAGGTTCCATATGACAAAGGGAATGCTGGGATTGATTTTGGGGGTAATTGCCTCAAAATTTTAGGAATTAGGGGCCAAAAAAGGGCCAAAAAACAAGCATTTTCTAGTTTCATGACAATAACGTATGTAAGTGTATGGATCTTTCTGAAATTGTACTTCAAGGTTCCATATCACAAAGGGAAAGCTGGAATTGACTTTGAGGATAAATGCCCAAAAAGTTTAGGAATAAGGGGTAAAAAAGGGGCCAAAAATAAGCATTTTTCTAGTTTCCAGACAATAACTTGCGTTCTAGTGTATGGATCTCTCTGAAATTGTACTGCAAGGTACCATACCTCAAAGGGAAGGCTGGGATTGATTTTGGGGGTAATTGCCTCAAAATTTTAGGAATTAGGGGCAAAAAAGGGGCAAAAAACAAGCATTTTTCTAGTTTCAGGACAATAACTTGTGTGTAAGTGTGAAATTGTACTACAAGGTTCCATGTCACAAAGGGAAAGCTGGGTTTGAGTTTGGGGGTAATTGCCCTAAACGTTTCGGAATTTGGAGCCAAAAAGGGGCAAAAAACAAGCATTTTTACAGTTTCCAGACAATAACTTGTGTTCAAGTGTATGGATCTCTCGGAAATTGTACTGCAAGGTACCACACCACAAAGAGAAGGCTGGGATTGAGTTTGGGGTAGATGAATCATAAGGGGGTTCAAAAAATTGGGGGAGGGATTTTTTTTTCCTTTTTTTCTTTTTTTTTTCTTTAAAATTTTCCATTATAAGTTGGTTATTTTTTATTTATATATAAAAGCAAATAATAATGATATGGTTTGATTTCATCAAAATTGAAATATTGGGGTTCTTTGATATGCTGAATCTAACTGTGTATTTAGATTCTTAATTTTTGGTCCCGTTTTCAAATTGGTCTACATTCAGGTCCAAAGGGTCTAAAATTAAACTTAGTTTGATTTTAACAAAAATTGAATTCTTGGGGTTCTTTGATATGCTGAATCTAACCGTTGGACATTGGACCATAAAAGGTAAATTAAAAATTTCTAAGTTCTTAGACCACATTCATTCTGTGTCAGAAACCTATGCTGTGTCAAATATTTAATCACAATCCAAATTCAGAGCTGTATCAAGCTTGAATGTTGTGTCCATACTTGCCCCAACTGTTCAAGGTTCGACCTCTGAGGTCGTATCAAGCTGCGCCCAGCGGAGCATTTTATTAGATCTGTCAGACACCTACTTCCTGTTTTCCCAATACTTTGACTTAAGAATAGGGGTATACTTGCAGGACAGTGAGTGCATTCTTATGAAGATTAACATGCTTGAATTATCTATAACAACTGTTACAAGTGTATGTGTAAGATTAAGATTATCTCACCATTTCTGATGATTGTTGCAAATGGAGTGTAAGTTTAAAAAATCTCGAAACATTATGGACGAATTTTTATTGTAGCAAGTAAACATATCATCCATTTTTCCCTGCTGAAAATGTAGTAGTTGTTTACTATGTTGCAGTAATAAGATATACTTAAGAATCACTTTTTAGCTCACCTGGCCTGAAGGGCCAAGTGAGCTTTTCTCATCACTTGGCGTCCCTCGTCCGTCGTCGTCAAAATTGTCAGTCAACCCCTTTAGGAGTTATTGCCCTTAATAGTCAATTTTTAACAATTTTTTGTAAATTTTTGTAATCTTTTACAAAAATCTTCTTCACTGAAACTACTGAGACAAATTTAACCATACTTGGCCACAATCATCATTAGGGTATCTAGTTTAAAAAATGTGTCCGATGACCCCGCCAACCAACCAAGATGGCCGCCATGGCTAAAAATAGAACATAGGGGTAAAATGTAGATTTTGGCTTATATCTCTGAAACCAAAGCATTTAGAGTAAATCTGACAAGGTAAAACTGATTATCAGGTCAAGATCTATCTGCCCTGAAATTTTCAGACAAATCTGACATCCTGTTGTTGGGTTGCTGCCCCTGAATTGGTAATTTTAAGGAAATTTTGCAGTTTTTGGTTATTATCTTGAATATTATTATAGATAGAGATAAACTGTAAACAGCAATAATGTTCAGCAAAGTAAGATCTACAAATAAGTTGCATGACCAAAATTGTCAGTCGACCCCTTTAGGAGTTATTGCCCTTAATAGTCAATTTTTAACAATTTTTGTAAATTTTTGTAATCTTTTACAAAAATCTTCTTCTCTGAAACTACTGAGACAAATTAATTTAACCATACTTGGCCATAATCATTATTAGGGTATCTACTTTAAAAAAATTGTCCGATGACCCCGCCTTCTAACCATCATGGCCGACTTGGTTAAAAATAGAACATAGGGGTAAAATGCAGTTTTTGGTTTATATCTCTGAAACTTAAGCATTTAGAGCAAATCTGACAGGTGGCAAAAATGTTCATCAGATTTAGATTTATCTGCCCTGAAATTTTCAGACGAATCTGACAACCCG